TAGGCTACTTTATCTATGTTTCCTGGTAAAATAGATGGGAAAATCCCATTGGAGGAAAATTCCACTTAGGGTTAGCGTTAAGTCACCATGAACTCATAGAGAAGAATGGAAATTGGCAAAAAAACTGGGAGTTCTTGGATATGGTTAGGAGGGCACTGAGTTTTCTAGGCTGCCCTATCTATATTGCCTGGTAAAATACATGGGAAAATCCCATTGGAGGAAAATTCCACTTAGGGTTAGGGTTAGGTCACCATGAACTCATAGAGAAAAATAGAGGTCACCAACAAATTCGGAGTGCTTGGGTATAGTTAGGAGGGCACTGACTTTTCTAGGCTGCCCTGTCTATGTTTCCTGCTAAAATACATGGGAAAATCCCATTGGAGGAAAATTCCACTTAGGGTTAGGGTTAGCTCACCATGAACTCATAGAGTAAAATAGAGGTCACCAACAAATTCAGAGTGCTTGGGTATAGTTAGGAGGGTAGTGAATATTCTAGGCTGCCCTATCTACATTTCCTGGTAAAACACATGGGAAAATCCCATTGGAGGAAAATTCCAGTTACGGTTAGGGTTAGGTCACCATGAACTCATAGAGAAAAATGGAAATTGGCAATAAACTGGGAGTTCTTGGATATGGTTAGGAGGGCACTGAGTTTTCTAGGCAGCCCTATCTATATTTCCTGGTAAAATACATGGGAAAATCCCGTTGGAGGAAAATTCCAGTAAGGGTTAGGGTTAGGTCACCATGAACTCATAGAGAAAAATGGAAATTGGCAATAAACTGGGAGTTCTTGGATATTGTTAGGAGGGCACTTAGTATTCTAGGCTGCCCTATCTATTTTTCCTGCTAAAATAAATGGGAAAATCCCATTGGAGGAAAATACACTTCGGGTTAGGGTCAGGTCACCATGAACTGATAGAGAAAAATAGAGGTCACCAACAAATTCAGAGTTCTTGGGTATGGTTAGGAGGGCACTGAGTTTTCCTGGCTCCCCTATCTATATTTCTTAGTAAAATACACGGGAAAATCCCATTGGAGGAAAATTCCACTTAGGGTTAGGGTTAGGTCACCATAAATATGGAGAGCAAAAAGGACTTCGCCAATAAATTCAGAATGCTTGGGAATGGTTAGGAGGGCACTGACTTTTCTAGGCTGCTTTATCTATGTTTCGTGCTAAAATAGATGGGAAAATCCCATTGGAGGAAAATTCCACTTAGGGTTAGGGTTAAGTCACCATGAACGTATAGAGAAAAATTGAAATTGGTAACAAACTGGGAGTTCTTGGATATGGTTTGGAGGGCACTGAGTTTTCTAGGCTGCCCTGTTTATATTTCCCGGTAAAATACATGGTAAAATCCCATTGGAGGAAAATTCCACTTAGGGTTAGGGTTAGGTCACCATAAATATGGAGAGCAAAAAGTACTTTGCCAATAAATTCAGAGTGCTTGGGTATAGTTAGGAGGGCACTGACTTTTCTAGGCTGCCCTGTCTATGTTTCCTGCTAAAATACATGGTAAAATCCCATTGGAGGAAAATTCCACTTAGGGTTAGGGTTAGGTCACCATAAATATGGAGAGCAAAAAGGACTTTGCCAATAAATTCAGAGTGCTTGGGTATAGTTAGGAGGGCACTGACTTTTCTAGGCTGCCCTGTCTATGTTTCCTGCTAAAATACATGGTAAAATCCCATTGGAGGAAAATTCCACTTAGGGTTAGGGTTAAGTCACCATGAACTTATAGAGAAAAATTCAAATTGGCAACAAACTGGGAGTTCTTGGATATGGTTTGGAGGGCACTGAGTTTTCTAGGCTGCCCTGTTTATATTTCCCGGTAAAATACATGGGAAAATCCCATTGGAGGAAAATTCCACTTAGGGTTAGGGTTAGGTCACCATAAATATGGAGAGCAAAAAGGACTTTGCCAATAAATTCAGAGTGCTTGGGAATGATTAGAAGGGCACTGACTTTTCTAGGCTACTTTATCTATGTTTCCTGCTAAAATACATGGTAAAATCCCATTGGAGGAAAATTCCATTTAGGGTTAGGGTTAAGTCACCATGAAGTCATAGAGAAAAATAGAGATCACCAAGAATTTGGCGTGCTTGCGTATGGTTAGAAGGGCACTGACTTTTCTAGGCTGCCCTATCTATAGATCCTGGTAAAATGCATTGGAAAATCCCATTGGAGGAAAATTCCACTTAGGTTTAGGGTTAGGTCACCATGAACTCAGAAAGCCAAATGGACATCGCCAGTAAATTCAGGATGCTTTGGTATGGTTAGGAGGGCTCTAACCTTTCTATGCCGCCCTGTTTCCTGCTAAAATAGAAGGGAAAATCCCATTGGAGGAAAATTCCACTTAGGGTTAGGGTTAGGTCACCATGTACTCATAGAGAAAAATGTACATCATGTAGAATCTGGGAGTGCTTGGGAATGGTTAGGAGGGCAGTGACTTTTCTAGTCTGCCCTATCTATATTTCCTGGTAAAATACATGGGAAAATCCTATTTGGGGAAAATTCCATTTAGGGTTAGGTTTAGGTCACCATGATGCCGGGAGGTAAAATGGACATTGCTAATAATTGATTTTTTTACTTTTCTTTTTTCATTTTATTTTCTTTTTTCCCTTTTCTTTTTCCTTTTTCCTTTTGTTTTTCCTTTCTTTTTTCATTTTCATTTTTCTTTTTCTTTTCTATTAATTTTTTCTTTTTACTTCTTCCTTTTTTCTTTTTCCTATTCCTTTTTTCTATTTCTCTTTTCTATTATTTTTCCTTTTTCTTGTTTTTCTTTCTTTTTCATTTTCTTTTTTCTTTTTTTCTATTTTCTTTCTATTTTCATTTTCATTTTCATTTTTCTTTTCTATAATTTTTTTCTTTTTACTTCTTCCTTTTTTCTTTTTCCTATTCCTTTTTTCTATTTTTCTCTTCTATTATCTTTCCTTTTTCTTGTTTTTCTTTCTTTTTCATTTTCTTTTTTCCTTTTCTTTTGTTTTTTCTTTTTTCCTTTCCTTTTCTTTTTTCCTTTTTGTTTTTTATTTTTCATTTGTTTTTTGTTTTTTTCCTATTTTTCTTTTTTCATTTCCTTTTTCTTTTTTTCTGTTTTTTTCTTTTTTCCCCTTTTTTCTTTTAATTTTCTTTTTCTTTATTTTTTCTTTCTTTTCCTTTTTTCATTTTTCCTTTTCCCCCTATTTTCCTCTTTTTCTTATTTTTTTCTTTCTTTTTCCCTTTTTTCTTTATTTTTTTTCTTTATATTTTAACATTTTTCTTTTTGTTATTTTTTTCTTTTTCTTTTTCCCTTCTTTTTTCCTTTCCTTTCCTTTTTTCAATTTTCCTTTTTCCTTTTAATTTTTTTATTTTGTCCTTTTCCCCTTTTTTCTTTTTCTGATTATTTTTTTTCTTTTTCCTTTATTTTTCTTTTTTCTTGTTTCCTATTAATTTTCTTTTCTTCATATTTTCACTTTTTCCTCTTCTTTTTTCATTTGATTTTTCTTTTTTCTTTCTTTTTCTTTTCTTTCTTGTTTTTATTTTCCTTTTTCCTTCTGTTTTTTCTTTTTTTCTTTTTCCTATTCCTATTCCTTTTTTATTTTTTTATTTTTCCCTTTTCTTATTTTGTTTTTCCCTTTTTTGCTTTTTCCTTTTTTTCCTTTTCCTTTTTTCTTTTTCCTTTTTCCCTTTCGTTTTTCATTATATTTTTCTCTTCTTTTTTCATATTCCCTTTTGTTTTTCTTTTTTCTATTATTTTTTCCTCTTTTTTCCTTTCCTTTTTTCTTTCTTTTTCTTTTTTTATTCCTTTTTCTATTCCTTTCCCTCCATTTTTTCTATTATCTTTCCTTTTTCTTTTTCATTTTTATTTTCTTTTTCCTTTTTTCATTATTATTTTTTTCCTTTTTTCTTTTCCTTTTTCCTTTTTTTTTCTTTTTCCCTTTTTTGTTTTCCCTTTCCCCTTTGCTTTTTCTTTCCTTTTTTCTTCTTTTTCTTTTTTCAAATTTTCTTTTTTTTCTTTTTAGTTTTTTCCATTTTTCTTTTTTCATTTTCTTTTTCTTTTTTTCCTGTTTCCTTTTTTCTCTTTCTTTTTTTCCTATTTTCTCTTTTCTTTCTTTTTCCTTTTTCTTATTTTTTCCTTTTTCTTTATATTTTCTTTTAACTTTTAACTTTTTTCTTTTTCTTTTTATTAATTTTTTTATTTTTATTTTTCCATTTCCCTTTTTCTTTTTCCTATTATTTTTTTTCTTTTCCTTTTTCGTTTTTCTTTTTTCATTTGCTTTTTCTTTCTTTTTTCCTTTTTCCTTTCTCTTTTTTCATTTGCTGTTTCTTTTCTTTCTTTTTTCTATTCTTTTTTCTTTTTTCTATTACCTTTTTTTCTTTTCTTTTTTGTATAAATTTTTCTATTTTTTTCTTTCCCTTTTTTGCTTTTTCATTTGCTTTTTTTCATTTTCTTTTTTCTTTTCTTTTTCCTTTTCTTCCTTTTCTTTTTTCATTTGCTTTTTATTTTCCTTTTTCCTTTCTTTTTCTCTTTTTCTTTTTGTATTCTTTTCTTTTCCTTTCCTTTTTCATTCTTTTTCTTTTTTTCTGTTTTCTTTCTTCTTTCTTTCCTTTTCTTTTTCTTTTTTATTTGCTTTTTATTTTCCTTTTTCCTTTTTCTCTTTTTTCCTTTTTCATTGTTTTCTTTTCCTTTTTATTTTTTCTTTTTCCTTTTTTATTTTGTTTTTTGTTTTCATTTTCATTTCCCTTTTTTCTTTTTTTCTTTTTCTTTTTCCTATAATTTTTTCCCTTTTCTTTTTCTTTTTACTTCTTTCTTTTTCTTTTTTCTTTCTTTTCCCTTTACGCTTTTTCTTTTTTCTTTTCCTTTTTTCCTTTTTTTTCTTTCTTTTTTCTTTTTCCATTTTTCCTTTTCTTTTTCCTTTTTTCCCTTTTCCCTTTTTTCTTTTTCTTCCCTTTTCTTCTTTTTCTTTTTTCATTTGTTTTTCATTTTTTTTTCTCTTTTTCTTTTTGTATTCTTTTTTCTTTTCCTTTTCCTTAATTAAATATGACATTGAAAACCAAATGTCGTTCTGGTGTCTCATTTGGCATTTGGGTTAAAACATTTTTTGACCTCATAGCCTTCTACAATCCTGACCCCGGCATCAGGAATTTTCTTAGCCAGGGACCAAACATGGTCAATTCTTAAAACAGTAACCAACACCATTTTTAAGCATCAAATTCAGCCCAGATGTCAAGGTTGAATTGATAAGATACTTGCTAACCTCTATAGCTGCTCAACTTACCATAGAAACAGGGAGGAGGGGGAACTTGGAAAGAAACGGGAATTTCAGGAAACTGTCCATGGACTGTGAGAATCAAGGTCATCCAAAGCAGATATCTGGCAGAGAAGTGGACCTTTTGCATAACAAACAGTCCAGTTTTTCTTACCTTGGTCTGTGTACAGAGGGAGGGGCAGGCGCCTTTACATATACCTGCAATCATGCGAATGGGACTGCACATGCTGCAAACGGGGTCGCGCGTTCCTGCGGCAATGCTAGTGCCCATGCGACCCTTGTGGTGATGCTAGAGCCCACACAACATTAGCATGAGTGGGATGAGTAGTGGGCTGTAGCCCACAGGTTTGGAACTCCTGAACTAGATTACTTTGGAGGGTTTTTTAAAAACACATTTACTAGTGGTTGGGCTTCACACAATACTTTTCCTCACAGCCAAATAAATGTATTTTCCTCCCATGTGTTACTCCTGCAGCCTATTTTTACTATGCCACAACAAGATTAGGTAGAGTTACTACCACCACACATATTAATGTGGGATACTTTTAGGGAAATATTGGGTAGATTACCTGATGATATTTCCAATTGCCAATCACTCTCCTGAACATATGGTAGGGCAGGTTGGGGTCCAAGCCTTTATAATTTATTTAGCCTTCATGTTTTATTATTTACTGCATGCTGCTTCTCAGGAAGCTAATCTATCAGAATACTAATAGCTTTGTGAATTTTTTCAGAGATGCTGCCATGACATCACCTGGATTATAACAGGGCGGAGTCAAATTGAATAAAACTTTGATTCCCATCTTCAGTAGTTCAGATATTGGCAGCAAAGAAATACAAAAAAATCAAACTACATTTTTGCAACCCAAGTATACCTCATAATTGATGAATAAGCTGAAACCTGTTCAATTTAAATAATTGATAATTAATCATAAAACTTATGTTCAGCCTGGAAAAGTGTGACTTTCTTCAGACTTTGGGATTGAAATTGGAGCCAGTAAAGCGCTAGAAAAGCCAAGCCATTGCTCATCACTATCACTTCTTCCTCCCCTCATAAGACTCCTCATAGTAGGATCAAGAGTGGGATGGAAATATTATAAATAATAAGGACATACTAGTTTCCTAAAGGGGGAATCTCGATTTTATTCAGCTGCCTCTATTTTAATGAAGAATCATTTTGGGCAAGTCAAGAGGCTCCGGTATTTTAACGATCAGAGAGGGAGGGAGTTGGGAGGAGAGGCAATTCCTCTGCACATGCTAAGAGGCATGCTTTCCCAGCTTTTTTTAAAGGTTAGGGTGCCTCCTGACGTAGTTGAAAGGTTATGCTGCAAAGGAGAAAAGAGGCTCATATTGACTGAGTCGCTGGCCGGCCGGCCGGCCGGCCGGCAGGCATGCTCTCCGCGCTCGCGCACCCCCCGCGAGACCCGGGTTGGCGGGGAAGGCTTCTCCCGGCTGGCCGCTTCGCCCTCCTGCCTCTTCCTCCTCCTCCAATCGCGAGCGCCCTTACTGCTGGGTGGGCTGAGCTGCTCGCCTGCACGCCCAGCTGATCCGAGGCTCAGCCATGGTAATGTCTGCCGCTTTGTTCTTCCCCCTCCTCCGAAGATCCGGGGCGGAGATCGGTTCGGGGGCGGAGGGGCGCGTGTGTGGCACGATCGAGGCCTGCGAGGGAGGAGTGGGGGGGAGGCGCGCACTTTCGTCCGGGGGCCGCTTGTCTCCCGAGTCGCTGCCCGGATGGAGAAGCCCTCGTGCCGCCCCCCTCTGCCTCCATCCTGCTCCTTGGATGGAGCCCCCCGTGCGCCGGGTCTGTGGCGGGGCGTGTAAATGGGATTCTTGGGCCCCCGGATGGGAGTACCAGAGGGAAACTCCGGGGTCGGGAAGAAGATGGGCAGCGGGGAGGCTGCAAGATCCCGACTTTGACAAACGGATGAAGAGATGTGCACTGTGCGGAGAAATTGCAGAAGCATCCAGCTCGTAACCGAGGCATTTATAAGCAACCACGTGCAGTTGTGGGAATAGGTGCAAATCCACACACGAAATGTAGATTCCTGCCCTTTCTTCTCCCAAGAGTAGGATCTGAGTGGACAATGTCTCTTGAGCGTGAGGATAAACTAGGCTGAGTTGACGCAGTCTTTTTGCAAGGCCAGCAGGAATCTCTTAGTCTACTGAATAGACTGTGTTTTGTCAGTTTGTATCTTCAACCGCCCACAGACACCTCAACCCCAGCAGGAGGAGGCACACAGCAATAAATTAGATGCATGGGAATGTACCCATTTAAATAATGGTCACACAATCAAGACTGCATGCAACATGGGCAGACACTAAGAAGCATAGATGTGCAAACCCATGCAAATGTGCTTTTTGTACATGTGCATGCATTTAAATATGTACAGCAAAGTAGGGCCATATGAAAGTACTTACTGTATGTGGATGTCTGTTTACTATAAAAGAATTTGTAGGTACACAGAGTCATGGCTGTATCTATGTGAACTGTATGTATAACTTAAACATAGATGCATATATTAAAGAAGACTGTTCTCACAGTGTAAAATGCCATGTGAAGCAGTGGACTGAATTTTCAGAACAGTTTTTGGAGGGATGAGAGTATTATTAAGATAAGAGGGAGTTGAAGATGCATGGAAATAAATTCTCCCTGATGTGTTGTTAAATATACCATGGAAGATATTTTAAAACCTATATGCATCCTAGTCTGGCCTTAGATGAATTCTGAGGGTTGTTCATGAGATTGTTCAATGGAGAAACATCTTGTTGCCTGTAGAAAGTTCATTCTCCAAGTAAAGCAGGAAAAAATGATAAATTGGCTAGAAGGTCCAAGAATTTAAGCATCTATACAGCAGCTTTCTTGGTTTTAATTTCAAGCAGCCCCACCCCCAGCTTTTTCCTAATATAGGACCTTGACTTATTAACGGTAAACGTAGTACTGTATCCAAATATGCAACCATAGTTGTTCATCCCAATATATATATAGCCATATCTTATTACTATCTGTCTATAAGTTTTTTTGTTTTGTTTAAATCGGATGTATCCTGTTACTTAATTTTGAAGGCCAAGAGCTACGCTTGGTCTTTGAAAAATATACAGGAGGTGGTATTCTACTACAACTGCAGTTCCAGAAAATATTATTTACTTTAATGTAAATTACTTTAAAATTATTTAAATAGAATAATTAATGTAATTGCCTTTATTTAATTTTATCCCATTTATGTTTTATTAAAAATAGTAAACTGTTCATTTTTGAAGATTTCCTGCTACTTGTACTTTTTCTCTCTAAGTATATAATTTTTAATCTAGTTTATTTCTAAAATATGATTAGTGTACAACATGTAGAAAAAGGCCACCAGTGGGCTAGAATACTTGGCAGGGTAAAATGAATTTATGAAAAACCATGTTTATGAACAAAATGCCCAAGGAGAGAGATAATGGGGTAGGCCTAGACATCCCTTTTCTCATGAAGTTACCTGATCCAGAAGTGGGAAATCTATGGCCCTCCAGATGTTGGACTGCAGAGTCCCTAAGATAAATGCCCACCAAGCGCATTTATTAAGGAGTATGGAATTGCAGTTGAGATATCTGAAGGGCATGTTTGTTAAATAAGATATGAGAACTTGAAATGACTCACTGGGCACTAGGTTCAGGAAAATGGTAGAATGAAGTCATTCTCCCCTAATCTAGATTTCAAAGAATGTATTTCTATGAGATATAGAAATATATAGAGAGATGATCTCTCTCTCTCTCTCGAGAGAGAGAGAGACAGAGAGAGAGAGACAGACAGAGAGAGGGAGGGAGGGAGAGAGAGAGAATGAGAATGTTTATATGATTTTATTAATACTGGTGGTGCTTGACAATTCTTGTCAGCCTCAGTCAATGCAGTGTGTGGGTTGATAGGAATAGACTGCAGGAGGCTTTCTAGTTCCCAGCTATTACATCAGGCAAATTGAGGGAGAAAAAGATATTAGTGGCTGTTAGTCATAATAGCTAAAAGAGTCTTCAGTAAAAAGGCAGCATGATTGCCAGATACCGAAACCAAGCCAAGGGAGAAAATACGTCCATGTATGAAGCTTTCTGTCAAGTCACTGAAAGTTGCAGGATGCTAGACCAGTTGAAGTTTTGGTCTGATCCAGCATTTATTTATCAATTTGTATTCATACTTTGTACTAGAGAACAGCAATTTACAGATTTTTTTCCTGTTAATTTTCCCCCTTGGCTTAATTGGATTTCTGTTAATTTCTGTGTTTGGGGAATAAATACTGGAGGGACACAAGTGGGTGTTACAACTCTTACCAAACAGTACTGGTCCATCTGCACTAGAAATCCGAACTGGCGCAATTGGACTCTTGAAGTTCCTGTCAATAGATTTGGAACTTGGACTTGGAAAAATTATGGTTTTACTCAAGGATTTGGAATACAATAGTACCTTGGTAGTCAACTGCTTTGAAAGTCATCGAATTTGGTACTCAAAGCATTTTGTTGTGAAAATTTTGTCCTGGTACTCGTTGGTTGGTACTCAATGCACAGGTTACTGTTGGCTGCCTTGTGACTCACTACAGTATTATTTCTTATGAGAAAAAAATGTTTGGTACTCATCAGTTTTGGTACTCATTGTGCCTCCCTGAACCAATTAACGATGATTATCGAGGTACCACTGTGTTTCAATATAGTTTTGCTAAAACATTAGGTTTTTTTTAATTATAAGTGAAATTAGCTTTCGTTTCCCCAACCTGATTCCCTCCAGGCACCTGAAGTACAACTCTCATCATTTGCATCAAGAATGGGATATCTTTAAAACATCAGTCAACTTCAGGGCTAAATGGAAATTTGCTCTAGTCAAACTCAACATCTAATGTTTTACATTTCAGTTGCCTTTGCCCTTCTTAACTCATTAATTATTCTTCGTTTCCACCTCCACTCATACTTTTATTATATATTTATGCTTGCAGTCAACTCCAGATTCAGGCAGTGGTCCTCCTGGACAGCCAGCTCCCTTTCCTTCTGCCCCACCACCACCACCAATTCTACCTCCTCCATTTGTAAGTTCACCATAATGCAAGTTGTATTTAACAGTATTCTAAATGTTTTATAGAAATATGAAATGTCCTTGGTCTAGACCAAAGGTCGGCAACCTGCGGCTCCGGAGCCACATGCGGCTCTTTGAGCCTTCCCCTGTGGCTCCCAGCCTCCTCTGCCATTTGCAGACAGAGACAGAGAGAAGCACTTGCGCTTTCCTGCTTCTCTCTCCGTCTCTTTGTGTGTGTGTGTGTGTGTATGTGTGCATGTGTGTGTGTGTGTGTAAAAGAGAGTGCACTTACAGTGTTCTCCGAGGAGCTGCAAAGCTTACTGGGCGGAGCTCCTCCCTTTGCTGTGTCTCTGCAGGAAGCAGGAAGGGCAGGAGAGAGCTAGCTAGCCCAGCTATGCTAACTCAGGAATTCTGGGAGTTGAAGTCCATGAGTCATAAAAGAGGCGAGGTTGCCTACCCCTGAGCTTGTTGGAGAATAGCTTGAAGCCAGCTTGCCAGGTGAGCAGCAGAGAGGAGAGAGGGAGAGAGGGGGGCAGAGAAAGAGAGAGGGAGGGAGGGAGGGAGGGAGAGAGAGAGAGAGAGAGAGGAAAGAGAGAGAGAGAAAGAAAGAGTGGGGGAAGAGGACTGGCAGACCAAGGGCAGTTAGAGAGGGAGGGAGGGAAAGAGACAGAGGGAGAGACCCTTTTGAAATCTAAAATGAAGATAACACTGCATATATCCTTTTTTACCTGTGTGTGTGTATGTATATGTATGTATGTGTATATGTGTACACACACACACACACACACACACATACACACACAAAAACACCTATAATAAAGGTAAAAAAGGATATATGCAGTGTTATCTTCATTTTAGATATCAAAAGGGTTTTGCGGCTCCCGGTGTTTTGTTTTCGGTGGGAAATGGATCCAAGTGGCTCTTTGAGTGTTTTGGGTTGCCTATCCCTGGTCTAGACTCTATTGTATGTTAGGGTTGCAATGCCTAGGGAAATGGGAACAGGCCTGAAGCTTGTTTTAACTGGATTCCATTTTTGGGAATTCAAAGCTCATGGCTTCTGCACTTGAAGTTGGATCAGAAATCGCTTCTGTTATGCTTAGAAGCAGCTAAATTAAAATTTTCTATATTTTCAAGGTGCTGTTATAAAATGGAAATAACCAAGCTAAAAAAAAGTGAAATGTGAAATTAGAGGACTACTTCAAAATTAAAATCCAGATCTTAATTATTACACAAAAGCTCATTCTTCCCATGACAATATGGGATTTCATTTTATTGTTTTATTATTTATTTCCAGTGAAATTATTTATCTGATTTGTGATCTAAATTCATTAAATGGAAGGAAAGTAAAGAAGTTGTGTGTATTTATTGGGACATTAATTACTGTGGTGCAGCCTATCTCAATCTGGTCCATTCCATGAATTTAAGCAGCCATAATCTACAGATTAGCTCGTAAAGGTAAATTGTAGCCTTGAGACCATTACCTAAACCAGGGGTAGGCAACCTTGGATGTTTTATGACTCGTGGACTTGAACTTCCAGAATTCCTGCTGGCTCAGGAATTCTGGGAGTTGAAGTCCACAAGTCATAAAAGAGCCAAGGTTGCCTATCCCTGTCCTAAACTGACAGTTGCACACTGAGGTAGGATTTTAAAATGTAATATTTGGCATATCAGCATCCTTTCCTTTTTGAAGTGTGATGCTGCTGGATTGAGACTTAGTCTGTGGTTGGTCCAGAGTATATTCTGCTTTGGGCACAGGTATAAGTTTCTTTTCTTCTTCCTAGATGCCTCCTCCTGGGATCCCACCACCATTTCCACCCATGGGATTGCCCCCAATGGGACCACGGCCACCTCCTATGCCGCCTATGCCTCCTAGCATGATGCCACCTCCCCCTCTGATTCCACCTATGCCTGGACCACCACCCCTGGGTCAGGTAGTGCTGGTTCAGTTTTTTCTTTGCCTTTTGTTTCTCCAGTTTACAATATGTATAATGGCTTGGTCTTCTCTTTTGCTGCAGATGCCCACAATGGTACCACCGATGCTGCCTGGGATGATCATGCCAGGGGTGCCAGCTGGGCCTGTTCCTGTTTCTGGAGGAGTGAGTGTCAGAAAGTACAGTGATTTAGGGAATTAGAATAGGCTATGGCACAAGAGCTTGCATACGTACTGCAATGGCCTTCATAACAGGGCTGCCTCTTTCATTTGGAAACTGATAACATGATGCTCTTTGACCACTTGGTTGACCACACCCAATTAATGGATGATGAAGTGATCAAGGTGTGGAGTTTAGTGCAGAGAAGTGAGCAAAGCTGATTGGGCTCTTGCATCCCTTGAACATGGTAGGAAACTAAGATTATGGTCCTCCAGTTGTTGTAGAACCACATTGCCCAAAAGCCCTAAATCATGGAGGCAATTATGAAAGATTCCATCTCTGTTTGACAAACTTGGACACCAAAATCCTCCAAACGGCTTGAAGAGAGAATTGCTTAACATTTTCTTTTTTTAATAAGGTTTTTATTGAGTTTTATAGGGTTGTGGAAGGGAAAGGACCAGGATAGGGATTAAGGTTCGGGGTGGGGTTAGGGTCGGGATTGGGGTTGGGACAGGATTGGGAACAACATTGGGGTTGCCCCCCAATAACATTTTCAAGCTTTAGCAAATAGATTATTGTCCGGGTACATATGTTCAGTTAATACTAATCAATATAATAGTAAATAACTGTGGTGAATATGATAAACAATAATCATAAACAGTATCAGTTGGTCAATGCATATCATTCTTCTTATTAGTATATATTCAAAGTAACATATCACATTCATTTTTCAGTAGTTTGTTTCCTAACCATTGATAAAATTTATCACATTTTTTAAAATAAACTGAATCTTCTTTCTTTGTCATTCATTCATTTGTTTGTTCATTCGTTCATTTGTTCATGCATTCATTCCAGTATACCATTCTTCCAGAGGCCTGCCTGACCTCATTCCTGCTGGGTTTAAAAAAGCTTTGAAAACTTGGCTTTTGAAAATGGCGCTAGGCCAAAGTGTATTTTGCATTCCCTTTGACTCATGACAGATTGTGAAAATTGGGGGGATGGGAGTTGTACTTCCCCCAAATATTTATTTTCTCTATTTGTTTGTTTTTATTGAGTTTTTAATTGTAAGCTACTTGAGGCCTCAACTTGCAGCCTGATAAATACGTTATCATTGTTATTGCTGTAAAAACTAATTCTTTAGTTTTACCATTTAAATTCCTTAACTAGTTAATTTGTTTTAATCAAAAAAATAATTCATTTGTTTTAATACTCGGTGTCTAAATTGTTTGCATCTGTGGTATTATACTAAATTGTTTCATTTATTTCTGTTAATGTTAGGAAACATCTATGCATTTTAATTTGTACTTTCTACATTCTGTAATAATTGCGTAAAATGCTGATGAGTGGCCATAATAAAGTTAACCAACAAATTGACATAAAACCTTACTTTACTTTAGTTCTTTAAGATTAAAATGAATAAATAAAGCAAAGTGCAATAGAGAAAGATTGAACATGGCTAGCACTAGTATAAAGAATTAAAGGAAACATAAGAAAAAGAAAAAAAAAAATATGTTGAAGCTCCTTGATATGATTTGACGTTTTCTTTGACAGGCAGCTCCTGTTACTGACCCATCCAACAGTGAGTATTTTCAGGGATGTGTTTAAATATAGCTTTGGTGTGACCCAGCTCAAAAGATAATTATTAAAGAGAATCACATCATGTTTCTCTCAGCAATAGAAATTTGGGCCCTTTTATCTTTCCATACTTGAATGTCCGCAGATACTGCCTTTACTAGGCTGCATCAATTGAATTTCTCCCCCTTGTACAACTTTTAAAGATCTGAATGGAGAAGAGAGATAGGTGTTGGCAATACTACATGAACTGGTTCTTTATTGCAACTGCATTTCTCACTCTAGTTTGCATTTTGTGTCAGTAATACTGTGAATTCCAGGATATATCATCCTCTTCCATTCCAAGTGAACCATCTTAATTGCCTCTCATACTATAAGGACCCAGTGAAACCCTGCTTCCTGGAGGCATCAGCTTGGCTTTTTTGAAAGTTGGACTAAATAGGCTATTGGCCTAACCCAACAAGTTCATCTTAAGATCTTATGTTTGCCCTATTTGCTGTCCCTGGCACCTGTTGCTTCACTGCAGGACAGGAGTGTCTCTTTTATGAGTAATCCCTGACATAACTCTTCCACTTTTCTAAACTCTGTTCTTATTTTCTAGCTACAGTGACCCAAGCAGCACCTATGGTAAGTATCTGGACAAATGCTTTCCTAGATGTGGAATTAAGGAATTATGTAAGGAATTAAATGCATTATGGGGGTTTCAGAATAATACACAGCTTTTGGGGTAACTTATATTTTTTTCCTAGGGAGATGTCAAAGTGTAGTTTGCTTAACTTTGCTTGAAATTGATTGGTTCGCCCAACGCCATAAACCCCAAGTATTTATTGGCCTCATTTATATTATAAATCTAACCATTGAACAATCTACTTAAAGCCAAAAACAGGGGCAGGTTGAACTTTTTACTTACAATTGTAGATGACTGGAAGGAGGAAAGTCCTAAATTATGTTTTTGGTAGAGACAGTATGAATGTGTTGGTACTCTGTGGTTTTGATCGAGCCTTTCAGTCTTTCACATAATCTAAGCTTTCTTTTCTGTCTTTTGCCACTCCCACTGTCCTAATAGGAATGGCCCTTAGCTGTGGGGGTTGAGGATTAAGGATATGCCAGATGGGATAGCAGATCTAAAGGTTTTATCAAATTGGGGGCGGATGACTGGTAGGAATATAAGATTAAGCACTAAAACAGAGTTACTCTGAGGTAAGATGGGTAGCCAATACATTTTCTAAATGAAAGAGAGAGAGAGAGAGACAGAGAGAGGGGGGGAAGGAAAGAAAGAAAAAAAAAGAAAAGAAAAAGAAAGAAAGAAAGAAAGAAAGAAAGAAAGAAAGAAAGAAAGAAAGGTCTTTTCCTTCTTCCTTTCTTCTTCCTCTCCCCTAGATCCAGGGCTAAATATTATATTATATTATATTATATTATATTATATTATATTATATTATATTATATTATATTATATTATATTATTACATTACATTACATTACACTACACTACACTACATTACATTACATTATTTTACATTACATTATTTCTCCTCTTCTGCTTTAAATTTAAATGCCGCTTTAAATTTCAGATCCCCAACCCCCTGGCAGGTGCTGTGCAACAAAATATAATTCTTGGTGGCTCTCCAGTGTTGGATACAGGCCGAAAGGTAAAAAGTCTCAATGGAGAAAGGGCATCAGATTTCTTGATGTTGTCTCTTTTTGTTCTAGGAAGCAAACCAGGGTTGCGTGTTAGCATCCCACTGATCCAGAAATGGTTCACAGAAGGCGCACCAAGGAGCTAAAGAGCTCCATTGTTTTGTGCTGATGATCATGACCAGCACAGATGAACACCTAGAACTATGTTGGTGTTTTGTCCCAAGAAACAGCGTAGTCTTAATTCTTTGCCTGGTTTCCTCATACTGCTTCTCTAGTATTTGATGTTCAGAAATAAAGAAAGCTACCCTTCCTCTCCAAGAAAATAAATGAAGTGCCTTATAAGACCCAGGGAAAAAGTAAAGGTGTAGGTGAGCTCTGGATGATGGCAAAGCACATCAGTGGTTAGAGTAAAGGGAAAGCTAGAAGGAGCATTTTGCAAATAGCATAGTTAGCAAAAGGGAATGGAAAATCCAATGAGTTTGTTTATTTTCTGGGCTAAAAAAATTACAAACTCAGAATTCACACACACTCCCCAAATCCAACTTATGTATCTTTTGCAGAATAAGCTCGAGAGAATCACAGAGTAGAGGATGAGGTGTCGGGATAAGTTCCATTCCATTTTGAAGCATAAAAGTTCTCTGGATAACTTGGGCCCAGTCATTATGTCTCAGTCCAATCCAGCCTATCTCACAGGGTTATTGTAGGGTAAAATTGGAGCACGGTCTTGTTTGAGGGCCAACAGAAAAGGAAGATCTAGATAATCTAGATCTAGAGTATTCATGTGGTTATTGTTGCATTCTTCATTATTTTTCTGCCTCTTCTAGGAAGATCCAGATGCTGATTTTGCCACCTTTGTACTTTTGACAGTGGGAAAGGTTTCTTACTAACCTTCCCTAAATATCCCCCCCTCTCCGTAGGAGATTTTTTTTAGATGCTGCTCACACAACTTCATGAAAGCTACAAAACTGCCTTTTTGTTTTTGTCCTTTCATTGGAAGTAAACACTGTGATTCACAGAATAGTGGTTCTCAGTGTCTGTTTGGGATGGAGGGATTGTGAATATTTGCCCAACTGGATCTCAGTTTGATCTGGTTTGATTTCAATTTTCCTTACAGAAGCCAGCATGGAGTGAACATAAAGCCCCGGATGGGCGGATCTATTATTATAATGCTGAAACCAAACAATCAAGTTGGGAAAAGCCAGATGAACTCAAGTCTAAGGCAGAGGTGAGAGTTGTTCCTACGCTTGGTTGAAGAGCAACTTAGACATTGATTTTTTTCCCCCTTTTGTTGACATGTATTGGATCTCTGATAAGGGAAGGTCAGCCATCCTGAGCAGCAATCCCATCTGGTTTTTCTTCTAAAAAGTAGGGTTGGAGTCATAACCCTAAGAAATCCTGGAATATAAACATAGGAGATGATGAGGCTGATAAGGAACTGTAAAACAGTCACTCAGAGGAAGAGTGCATAGCATGGAGAAGATTTAGGGATATGGGATACCTTTGCAAGGGGGCTGATCTCAACCAATATTTGGGGGAAAATTTCTACGAGCAAAGAGTTTCTTCTGAATAAAACAGTCTTCTTGGATCATGATGGATTCTACCTCATTGTGGGTAACTAATTGGAATCTGGACAACCATCTTGTCAGAGAAGTTGTAATTCCAACATTCCTGCATTCAGCAATTGATTGGGTTAGGATCTTTTTCAAGTCTAACCATGTCCATCAAATTCTCTCAGATTATTCCGTGGAATCTGGGAGAATTTGTTGACTGCAGGACTTGCTAGCATCAGATGAATGTGAACCAGATAGATGGTTTAGAACAGGGGTGTCAAACTGCCAGCCCATGGGCTGGACGCGTCACCAAGAAACCGCGCCCACCCCATTGGCGGCAATGGAGAAAAAGCTCCGATACGTCGCACAACGTCACGTGATGTCGCGAGTTTGACATGTCTGGTTTAGAAGAAGGCCATCAGGAGCTTTACCTCCAAGTGAGGAAAGAATTGTTAAATTATTAAATGAAAAAAGAAACACATGGCCATTAGCAAAATAACTCATTAAATAACCCTTTAATAAGAAACCAAACTGGTTTTGACTCAAAATTCAGTTTCCCAAGCAGACAACCAAATGCTTTTTAAGATAACAGGATATAACTGCAGCTCTTGGCTTCACAATCAAGTCAGGGCTAATAGAAAAGGAGGCTTTTGTAGTTAAACATTTTGGGCATTTGATTAACTTATGATTTATGAATGCAGAAAAGGAATCAGTTGATTAACTGAGACAGGCAAGCTTGATCATAGGTACGGATTGGTCTGTCAGTGCATAATTTTTCAGAAAAGGATAAAAAATTCTGGATCTTTACTCCACAAAAAACACACACATACACACACACACACACACACACACTATACACTTGCTAAGGCTGTCTTCTTTGCTTTTGCAGCTCTTGCTGTCACGCTGTCCTTGGCGTGAGTATCGCTCAGAAACTGGGAAATCCTATTACTACAACACTCAGAGCAAGGAGTCACGCTGGACCAGGCCACGAGAGTTGGATGACATTGAGGGTGAGGATCTCCAGGATCAAATCTAGGGTGGGGATTCTGTTCCTTGCAGTCCTCCTCTGATAACCATTCCTATTTTTGTTCTTCAGCATTGATCAAGGAGGAAGAGGAGGAAGCAGAGTAAGTTCCTGGAAGCAGGTTGCATCAAGAAGAGCTCAAAGAGCTGGCTGGGTAGGAGAAAAGGCAGCCCTACCCAGCAAGGATTGTCCCATGAGACGTGGGCATGGAGTGAGCGCTGGCAGGGCAGGGACTTCCCTTTTTCTTCCAAGCCTTCCCTAGATGTTGATTCATCTCTCTGGAAGATCTGCTGAACCTGGCATTCATCTCTCTGGAAGATCTGCTGAACCTGGCATATGGGTCACAAAACCTTCAGAAAACCTGAGCTTTGCCATTTGGCTTGCAAATTTGTTTCCAATTCTACTTGATGATGGCAAGAAACTGAAAAATCACATGGAAACGCAGAACCCAAAAAGGGGCTGAGTGGGATTTGGAGTGGTTGAGACTGGTCCTATGTCCCTTCTGTTATTTTCTTTTCTTAATGAGATGGAGCTGGCTGGAATCCATTGGGTGGAAAGTTCTCTAAACTGTGCAGTAAATTGGGCTTGTATTGTCCTGTTGCGAAATATTCATAGCTGCCATCTACTTCCTTCCCAGGAAGCAACAGCTACCTCAGCAACTGGAGCCACCGTTGTCGGGCCCTGCCAGTCCCAGCCCGTCTTCTGCGGCCACCTCAGACACAGAAGGCACTGGGGGCGTTGAAGAGGCCCCAGGGACTGAGGGAATCCCAGCTGCTGTTGAGGAAGTCACAAGCAGGTAATTCAAGAGTAGAAAGGACGGTAGAGGGAAGGTGTTGATCTGTAACCAGGCCATCGCCAGCTTCCTAGCACAGTGTTTCTCAGTCTTAGCCACTCTAAGATGTGCGGATTTTAATTCCCAGAATTATCCAGCCTGCATGGGAATTCTGGGAGTTTTTTCTTTATTTGTGTCAGAAATACCTTCAAGTTATAGACATACAACATGCCACACTGAGCAAGTTAAGAAGGTATAAAATAGATCATAGAACTACAGGTAGTCCTTGACTTACAACAGTTCATTTAGTGACAATACAATGTTACAACGGCACTGAAAAAAGTGACTTATGACCATTTTTCACACTTATGACCATTGCAGCATCCCCAGGGTCACTTGATCAAAACTCACGCACAGCCAAGTTCACTTATCAACCATGTTACTAACTTAACAACTGTGATTCACTTAATAACTATGGCAAGAAAGGTTGTAAAATGGGACAACATTCACTTAACAGATGTCTCACTTAACAACAGCTCAATTGTGGTCGTAAGTTGAGGACTACCTGTATAGCACATGTAAAAAGTATGTAAAATAAATAGGATTCTGGGAGTTGAAGTCCACACATCTTAAGAGCTGCCAAGGTTGAGAAATACTGGTCTAGCAGATAGTGGAATCTCCACTCCAACTCATCAGGAAAGCATCAGATTGAGGAAGGCCAGATTAAGCCTGCCTAGGCTTTCAAACTATGAGTTGGAGGACAAATACAGTGGTAGAAAAAGAAGAGAGACAGAACGCCATTTGTTTGCCAATTTATCTGTATGGAAGGTTGCACTTGTTGTTAGTTGCGAAGTCGTGTCCGACCCATCGCGACCCCATGGACAATGTTCCTCCAGGCCTTCCTGTCCTCTACCATCTTCTGGAGTCCATCTAAGCTCATGCCTACTGCTTCAGTGGCTCCATCCAGCCACCTCATTCTCTGTCGTCCCCTCCTTCTATTGCCCTCGATCTTTCCCAGCATTAGGCTCTTCTCCAGTGAGTCCTTCCTTCTCATTAGGTGGCCAAAGTATTTGAGTTTCAAGGATCTGGCCTTCTAAAGAGCAGTCGGGGTTGATCTCCTCTAGGACTGATCGGTTTGATCACCTTGCAGTCCAGGGGACTCACAGGAGTCTTCTCCTGCATCATAGTTCAAAGGCCTCAACTCCATGGACAGTACCAAAAGGCTGCCCTACCCACCTGGAATTCCGAGCAGCGATCAGATGAATTGTTAAGCTGCATCCATGCTTTACTTTGTGTTTTGTCCAAATGCTTTGCTTTTCCTTGGGCAGTTGTGATCCCCTCCGGAGAGATGAAGAAGATCGTGGCAGTGCCAGTGCCTGGAGCAACAAAGAGGAAGCTAAACAAGCTTTTAAGGAACTGCTCAAAGACAAGGTAATAACTGGAGAAGGGAAAGGAGAACAAAAATTAAAGACTTTCCTAGGAATCAGAGCCAAAAGTTCGTCAGATATAACATTTTTTATACCCATCGCTTACCCTGCCAGGAAAATGTTGGGTAGTTTTGTGTTCTGAGTGGTTTCTTATGAGAGTGAAAAGGGCCCAGTCTCCTTGCTGTAGGACAGGAGTAGGCAACCTTGGCTCTTTTATGACTCGTGGACTTCAACTCCCAGAATTCCTAAGCCAGCATGGCTCAGCTTGGAAACCTCTCCCTTTCCCCTCAGCATGGCTGGCTCAGGAATTCTGGGAGTTGAAGTCCACGAGTCATAAAAGAGCCAAGGTTGCCTACCCCTGTTGTAGGAGAACAATGTCAGGAAACCTGTCCTTCTGGCAGGCTCTTTTTTTTTTTTTTTTTGCCAGACGGAGAAGAAAGGAAAATATTTTGCCTAAACATTCAAGCAGAAGAAAATCAAAACACCAAATTAGTTACACCCTGACTCTTGTATTTTTTTTAAAAAAAAAATGGGTTTAAAAGAAGGAGCCTGCCAGGTAAGGCAGGGCAGACCTAACTGGTGCAGTCCAAGAGAAGGAGATATCACAGCTTGATTGAAATACTCCATTTTCTGGCTTTAGGGTGTTCCCGCTAGTGCATCCTGGGAACAGGCGATGAAGCTTGTTAGCTGTGACCCCCGTTTCAGGTATGATCCTGGGTGGCTGCATCTAGTTCCCTCCCTTCCCTACCATATCAGATGTGAATCCAAGTTGCAGACCTGTATGATGAAAGTCTTACAGAGACAGGTCATTTGGTGCTCCCTGTCCATCCAACTATTTATTCACGTGGAGAACTAGAACTTGGATCCCCTGTTTTTCTTTGCCTGCTGCCCATATGAGCCGGCTCTTGACCTCTGGGTTCTGTGTGTCCCAGTGCTTTGCCCAAGCTGAGTGAGAAGAAGCAGGCATTCAATGCCTACAAGGCTCAACGGGACAAGGAAGAAAAGGAAGAGGCTCGACTCCGGGCAAAGGAGGCAAAGGAAGAACTGCAACACTTTTTGGAAGAACACAGCAAAATGAATTCTACCACCCGTTACAGGTACACAAGGATCAGGATGCTTGGGAAGCAACAACCCAGTGAGGGAAGGTTGGGAATCTGGATGACTCTCTCAAGAGCATTTTACAGGTTTGCGAAGTGTCTTCCTGGCTAGGTCTTAAAGGATCCTTGGAAGGAAATAATAGTAAGTCTGGCCCAGTTCCTTGAATAACGCCAACTGTAATGGATCGATCATTTTGCAAGGTCGCATGTCTGAACCTGGCAGAGACTTGGCACTTTGGAGAACAGGAATGTGCATTTGCCAGTAATGAACCTAGAATTTACTGCTGGATTTCCTGTGAGCTAGAATGAGAGAGGTAAATGCTGAAAGAGTTGAAGCTTGAAGACCAGGAAAGAGATGTTACCTTGGCTATGCCAAGCAGTCCAATTTCCCCTGTTTAAGCATAAAACAGGAGGTTTCTGTTTCAGGTATCTCTCTGTTTTTTCTGTTGCCGCAACTCTTGTCCTCACCAGATCAAAGTAGAGGGACTGTTGCATGGTTCTTCCAAGCATGGATGTCCCTGAGCACCTCACTCTGTCTGCTTCGTAGACTAGGATGTCCTTGAACTTTACCTATTCTCCCTTGAGGGGTATCACCCTATCCTCCATCTCCAACTTTCTTTTCTCTTTCCCTCGTCAGGAAAGCTGAACAAATGTTTGGTGAGCTGGAAGTGTGGGCCATGGTCCCCGAAAGGGATCGCAAGGAGATCTATGATGATGTTCTTTTTTTTCTGGCCAAGAAAGAGAAGGTAGGTCAAGAATGGGGCAAGGGCGGGAGTTCTTGATAAAAACAACAAAAATCCAGGCATCATCCTTCCCTCATAGCCTTCCTTCCTAAGTAACAGCAGAAAGCCTAATCCTGATACTTGCTCCCAGAAATTGAGGGCAGGAATCCAAGATTCCTGAGATAGATACTAGCCATCCACATCCACAGAGTCCAATCCACAGTTTTATCTTAATTACAAAGTTGTTTTGACAAAAGTCCATCCCTTACATATATATGTGTGGGGCCTTACTTACAAAAAGAATGAAGTTTGCCTTGTGTGACATCCTGACACTTTCATCCCTTGCCCTGTACCTCCAGCAGAAACCCAAAGCCCTAGCATTAATACTACCCCTTTCGCCCCACCCAGGAGCACACCAAGCAGCTCCGCAAAAGGAACATTCAAGCTCTGAAGAGTATCCTGGACAGCATGAGCCGTGTCAGCTTCCAGACCACTTGGTCCGAGGCCCAGCAGTATCTAATGGACAATCCCAGCTTTGCCGAAGACGAAGACTTGCAAAGTGAGTCATCTTCCACCATCTCATTGCCCCGGTTCCTCCTACCCTCGTCTTTCTAGCTCTTGTCTTCACATGGTATGGGAACCACATCTTCTCATTAAGCCATAATGTAGATTATGTATTTGGGCAGTGTATCTAATTGCTGCCTTCTAGAAGTCACAAACACTTAATTCTAGAAGGGTAACAAGCTGTCCTAACCTTCCGAATGCTGGGCCTGTCTGCTGCCCTGTTGACAGGTTGGGCCACAACTTCCCATCTTAGGTAGGACAACTCTCCGTGCTTAGAGCGTTCAACACTCTTATGCTTCCATCCCTTTTGTCTGTACCTGAATCTCAGTCACCTCTCATTACAGAATAAACTTGTACTTTTCCTCCTGTGTCACTATGGTTTTATCACTTAGCTCAGCCTGGCCTGCTCCCAACTTTCCCTCTTTCAGACATGGACAAGGAGGATGCTTTAATCTGCTTTGAGGAACACATCAGGACGTTGGAGAGGGAGGAGGAGGAAGAACGCGAACGGGGTCGATTACGGGAGAGACGTCAGCAGCGGAAAAACAGGGAAGCCTTCCAGGTATTTGCAATCACAGCCATGAGCTAAGGAGGCTTTTGCTGGGGATTCTTTGGAAAGAAGAGTGTGGTTTGTCTTGCAGAGCAAGAACAATGGCAAGGATTCCACGCCTTGTAGATTTCGGTCATTAGCACTGAAAACATTTCTGGCAATCTTCAAGGTGGTGGGCTCCAAAGATATAAGCAACCTCCAGAATTCTCAGCAATAACCATATTAACTGAGAAATTCCAGGATTTGAATCTGTGTATCAGAAGGGCAGCCAAATTAGGAAAAAAATCTAATTAAAAGAGTCAGATTGCAAATGATAGGAAAACCCTTTTATTGTTGTCACAATCCATAGCGGGCTAAATGGTGAATGGCCTGATTCAGCCTTTTTCATCCTCATGTTTGCTAGATATTTTAGGAATACCTTTTCAGACGTCCCAATTGCCACGATAGCTGGGAATTCTAGTACCTATCATCCAACACATTTGAAGAGCATTAGGTTGAACAAGGCTGCTCCGATGAAGAGTATTCTAGATCATCATTTAATGTTTCTATTGTCCATCACCTGGAGATAAATAGATCAAAATTTCCATATACCAGGAAAGAAAAAAAATCATTTTTATACCACCGGAACATTACTTGTAACTATTTTGTTTTGGCCTGTTTGTAGCTAGTTAATTATTTGATTATGATTCCAGAAAAGGACTGGATATATATTAGAATTCTGCTTCCTAACATGTTGGCTGTCTTTAGTTTTTGAATAAAAGTCTAGATCAGTATTTCTCAACCTTGACAATTTTAAGGCATGTGGACTTCACTCCCAGAATTCCACAGCCAGCAATGCTGGCTGTGGAATTCTGGGAGTTGAAGTCCACATGCCTTAAAATTGTCAAGGTTGAGAACCACTGGTCTAGACCAGTGTTTCTCAACGTTCGTGTGACGGCGACCCCGTCACACGAACGTGCTGCGCATGGGTGGCGCGGCGTGCATGCGCGGCGGTGCCCCCATGCACGGCACGCATGTGCGGCCCCATGCGCGGCGCGCCCCCATGCGCTGCCCCATGCGCGGCGCGCCCCATGTGCTGCCCCCTGCACGGCACGCCCCCATGCGCCGCCCCCATGCATGGCGCGCATGCGCGGCGGCGCCCCCTGAAGGGGGAAAATAGCGGATCGCATTGTTTGGCGACCCCCGTAAAATGGTCGATCGATCCCAAATGGGGTCGCGACCCATAGGTTGAGAACCGCTGGTCTAGACATTAGCGAGAGAAGATGCTTGCAGAGAGAGAGCTCATATAACTGCCAGTTATTGCTTTTCTGTCATAGTTAAAAGGAATCCCCATTGACTTTCAACCATTCAAAGCAATGTTTCCCAACCTTGGGAACTTTAAGAAGTCGTGGACTTCAACTCACAGAATTCCCCAGCCAGTAATGACTGGATGGAGAATTCCGAGAGTTGAAGTCCATACTTCTTAAAGTTCCAAAGGTTGGGAAACACGGCTTTAGAGAACCTCAGTTTTTTGTTCATGGACCTTCCTACAGATGTGCAGCACAACCAGGGGGGGTAGCATTTTACAACCATTGCAGACCCTGCCTCCCTATATTGCAAACTCTGTTTTGTATACGTTTACTTTTTTTTCATTTACAGGCAAATACATGTTGTTCTTGACTTACGACCACAATTGAGCCTAAAATTTCTGTTGCTAAGTGAAACATTTGTTAAGTGAATTTTGCCCCGTTATGCAATCTCTTTTTGCCATAGTTGTTAAATGAATCATTGTAGTTGTTAAGTTAGCAACACGGAACCTGGCTTCCCCCATTGACTTTGCTTGTCAGAAGGTCGCAAAACGTGATCACATGACCCCCGGGACATTGCAACCGTCATAAATATGAGTCAACTGTCAAAAGTGTCTGACTTTTGATCACATGAACACGGGAATGTTGCAGCAGTCGTAAGTGTGGAAAAACAGTCACGTCACCTTTTTCAGTACTGTTGTGACTTTGAATAGTTACTAAATGAACTGTTGTAAGTTGAGGGTTACCTGTAGAGTGCTTTCTTGCTTCTAAGATGGATCCATAAATCCTGATGCCCATTTTATACTCCTTGTAGGAAACTTTCTTGCATTTTCCTAATCAGTTTCAGAAACCTGAACTGTGACTGCAGAATGCCCCTATTCCTTTCCCCCAATATTTGCAGAGTCTTTTTTGATCTATTTTTTTTCCAAATTGTTTTTCTTCAAATGAGGAAAAAAAGACACTGGGAGAAATTTGGAAAACTTGTTACTTTTATTTAAGGGAGGAGAAACAAAGTAGCCCAGCCAGGCTCCAGTGTGAGGATTACTTAGGTTTTGGAAGAACATAAAAGCCCCAAGAGAGTACCACAAGTGATAAAATAAAGGGGGAGGGGCAAGTGTAACCCTGTAAATCAGGGGTGGACAATTAATTTTCCCAAAGAGCCACATGAGAAACTGGGACTGTTGCTGAGGGCTGAGCCAATAGGCTGGACTTAATTTTGCTCAGTATTAATTTTATCACTTTATAAAAAGCAGCAAATTCTGTGGTTTTGATTAGCTGCTACTGGTAAGAGTATATGTTACGATAAGACTGAAAATGTGGAACTGCATAGTATATTTATTTATTTGTTTATGAGACTTATATACCGCTTTAAGTGCAAGCACTCTCTAAGCGGTGTACACCAGTAAGCAATGTATATATATATTTACATTGCCCCCAACAATCTGGGTCCTCATTTTACCTACCTCGGAAGGATGGAAGGCTGAGTCAACCTTGAGCCGGTGAGATTTGAACCGCTGACCTGCTGAACACAGTCAGCTAAAGTGGCCTGCAGTACTGCACTCTAACTGCTGCGCCACCTCGGCTCATATACTTATTTACGTTTGATTTCTAATTTCCGATTGATCTCACGTAGGCTGGACAGGGACAGCCAAAGGGCCATATGTGGCCCAGGGGCCATAAAATGCCCAGGTCTACTTTAGATACTCCTGAACAACTTTTAGCCCTCCTTATTGTTGACCATACTGGTTGCGTGTTGCTGTGGTAGAGAAAAGAATCACCTCATCCTTCTACAAGATGATCATTTTGGTATACCTCATCACTCCTATTTTCTCACATTTTTTATGCTTCTTGGAATGCTGCTTGACAGTTCTTCTCTGACTGCCATTTTTTAAATCACAGGTATCTGTGATTAAATTGTGGCCGTAAGTCCACTTACATTCATTTTGTGAGTGTTCGAAGTTACAATGGCACTGAAAATGGCACTTACGACCGTTTTTCACACTTACGACCATTGTAGCATCCCCATGATCACATAATCAAAATTCAGATGTTTGGCAACTGGAATGTATGTATGACAGCTGCAGTGTCCTGGGGTCATGTGTTCACTTTTTGTGACCTTCTGACAAGCAAAGTCAATGGGGAAGCCAGATTTACTTAACAACAGCGTTACTAACCTACCAATTGCAGTGATTCACTTAATAACTATGGCAGGAAAGGTCATAAAATGGGGGAAACCTCACTTAACAATTATCTTACCTAGCAATGGAAATTTTGGGCTCAATTGTGGTTATAAGTCGAGGACTACTTGTACTTAAAATGAGTGTAGAGCATGGCAGATGTATCAGTGTGAAAATATGAGTTCTGTGCTCACGGCATTGTCTGGATGCTCTGGAAAATGGCATACCATACAGGCAAATTGCATAGTAATTGTCTAGCAGCCTCCAGGGAAGTGCGATACAGAGGCTGGAACATAGGAGTATAAGTTTTCCAGGAGTTCGGGGCAAAATTCTGATACTAGCTTTTTTGAAAGTTGTACTTCTCGGGTCAAATTTTGCAGTTCATCCCAGGGCCTTTTTTTCCCCTACTTTTTTCCTTCCTCTCTTCATACTGTACGTGGAGTGCTCTGTGGTATCTGAAATGTTTGAGTTTCCAGATGGGCGTTGGAAGGGCAGGGGGAAGGAAGTCTTGAAGAAACCTCTGTGCCGGGGCAGAGGGAGGTGGGTTTCAGGGCCTGCTTTGGGGCACATGGCCTCCCTGGCAGGGCCTGTGACTGGGGGAGGGGCTGACTCCCTGATCTCTCTCACTCTATCGTAGAATAACCAGGCTGCTTCTTGCTCAGGCCTTCTTGGACGAGCTTCACGAAAGCGGGCGCCTTCACTCCATGTCCACTTGGATGGAGCTGTATCCCTCCCTCAGCACCGACCGACGCTTTGCCAACATGTTGGGCCAGCCTGGTAAGCAGCCTCAGGCAGGAATCCCTCCCTCCCTCCCTGCCTCTCTTCCAGAAAAGGTCCATCCCCAAATTATGGCCATGGGTCAAAATAGTTCATCCTCCTGGGTGGTGTTTGGGACGACTTGAAATGTCGCACTTGGGTTTTCAAATATTTATTTATTAGATTTGAGATCTTCCCGTTGGAAAAGCAGAGGACTGGCCCTAAGTCTAGGGATTAAACTCCGTGAACCAAGAAGGCAGGTTGAGTCAGGGGCTTCACTAAGGGTTTTTAAAGGTATCTCCTGCCTTACTTCAAAGATTTTCCGTGCCTCCTGCCTTAAGGGAAATGTTTTCCGTTTTGTCTTCCAAGCAAGCCCTTAAATGTGTCCTTGAATTATAAATATGTGCATCATAAGGAGGTTTTTAATTTATGCTTATTAAGAGATTTTCCATACAATAAAGACAAATCGAAAAAAGGGAAAGGGAATGAAATGGGGAAAAAAGGAAAGGAAAAACAAAAGAGTGCAAGAAACAAAAATGACTCCCAACCTTGTTTTCAATAGATAGTTAAAATTTTGTAATCCTTCTTCCCTCTTAGATATAAGTCCCTTCAGTTCATTTTACCCAAGCTTATCTTAATCTTCAAACCCACAAATCATCATTTTTTTTCTGTTTAGCAAAAAGTCCATCTAGTCTCAAAAAAAGGTGTTTTTTTTTTTTCCTCTGATCAACAGGCCAGTTTTCCAGTTCTAACTTCTTTCACAAACCGTTCTTCTACTGTGGCGATTTCATTGGTCTTCCATTATTGTGCATGCAGTAATCCACCACAAGCATGTTTCTGAGCATGTCCTTTTCTCTCACGGATGTTATGGGTCATATCCATCCTTTGGACTTCCCTGTCACCTGTTGTGGGCACTCATTCTGAACCAAGTAAAAGATCCCCAGGGGCACAGTGTGGGATGCGTTTCGGGTTGCTGAATTTCCAAGAGAGATAAGTAATAAAGGAATAGGAGGCGGGGCCAATTCCTTTTGTTTCAGATCGCATTGTTGGTCATGCATTGCTCATTTATTCTACTTCATAGCCTACTTTCTACCCCGTAACTTAAGCTGATGGACATGATGGGGTAATTTTTCAACTACGTTTCAGTGAAATGACGGCCTTATATTCTCCTGGGCCTAAAATCTAAGAAGTTCCGGAAACTGCTTGAAAACTAGGTAGGCGGATCTTCTTTGCACCCAGGACTAATAATGCATGGGCTACTTCCTGCTGCTCTTCTGTTCACAGGCTCCACCCCGCTCGATCTCTTTAAATTCTATGTTGAAGATCTGAAGGCCCGATTCCATGACGAAAAAAAGATCATCAAGGACATTCTCAAGGTGCAGCTGGAAGGTTAACAACCAGAATATGAGCTAGAAATACTTTTGGGTGCAAAGCTATTTCCCTTAAGGGAATTACGTCTCACTCTGTGATACCAGTTAGCTGGGGGTCACCGCCCTCGTGACTTTTGGGACAACCATAAGACATTCCCTTTGAAACATCCTTCTTTGTACAGGACAGAGTTCTGTCCCATTTTGATGCTTGCGTTGGCTTTAAAATAAAAGCAGGCAAGGGGGAACTGGAGCTGATCTGGGCTGCATTTCCAGCCCCTACCTGATCCAGAGAAAAGGCCTTTTCAGAGAACCCCTAAAAAGATGGACGTCTATAGCGGATTTACTTTAGTATTCCTTAATTCCTTTTGCATGCTTTAGAAGTAAACACCGGGGCTTTGAAGGAGGGAAAGTTTAACCATGACCTTTTTCTGCCTCTCTCCTTTTCCCTTTTTCTCTCCTTGGTAGGACCGGAGCTTCAGTGTGGAAGTAAATACAACCTTTGAGGACTTTGCCCACGTCATCAGTTTTGACAAGCGTGCTGCCACGCTGGATGCTGGCAACATAAAGTTAACTTTCAACAGTGTGAGTGGAGCAGGGTGGGATCCTAGGCTTCTTCACCTTGGTGACTATCCCGATCATGTTGTAAAGGTGCTTTTTCAAGAGGCAGCTGAGAATCTCCATAGACACATATCCCCTATCATGTTCAAATAAATGTTTGTTGGGACTGTTTGTCTTCTCTGTCTAACAATGCTGGGGCTGAGAAGCATTAGGGGTCAGTACAGTTGGAAGAAAGGTCTTCTTTACACGTAAGCAGACAGCAAAGGTGATGGCTGCTTTTGCAAAAGCTGGTCAGGCAAAGCCAGGGAGGGGCAGGTCTGTGAACTAGACCCAGTTTGGCCTAGCCCAGGGGTAGGCAATCTTGGCTCTTTTATGACACCTGGACTTCAACTCCCAGAATTCCTGAGCCAGCCATGCTGAGGGGAAAGGGAGAGGTTTCCAAGCTGAGCCATGCTGGCTCAGGAATTCTGGGAGTTGAAGTCCACCAGTCATAAAAGAGCCAAGGTTGCCTACCCCTGGACTACTGCCTAAGAAACCAGGCTAGAAACCAGAAGACACTGAGTTCTAATCCCACCTTAGCCATGAAAGCCTGCTGGGTGACTTTGGGCCAGTCACTCATTCTCAGTTTAACTCACTGCACAGGATTGTTGTTGTTGGGGAAAAGTAGGATGAGGAAGGTGTGTTGGATATGTTCACCACCTTGGATCATTTGTAAAAATAATAAAGACAGAATGTAAATAAATAAAATAAAATGAAGCTCTGACATCAGAGGCAGTTGAACCACCGAGGAGACCTTTTTGCGATAGGAATGCTTTGTGGGTGATGGTTCTCTCCCATTGCCTCCCCACCCCAGCTGCTGGAAAAGGCCGAGGCACGGGAGCGTGAACGGGAAAAGGAGGAAACCCGTAAGATGAGGCGCAAGGAGGCAGCCTTCAAGAGCATGTTGCGTCAGGCAGCTCCTCCCCTGGAACCCAACACCGCCTGGGATGAGGTGAGATCTGCTTGTTGCAGGGCAGGTTTTCTGGCCGAGGCTCAAATGGGTGCTAAGGAAAGAGGATGGCAGATTACATCTGGATAATAATAGAACAATCGGCCCAACTGTTGAATGTATCTTTTGGTATCAGGACATGGGCATTTCCCACCCTTGGAGACCCCTCCCCCCATGTTTCTGGGTGCCTCCTTAATGCAGGAAGGTCAGCCTAAGAAGGCAAAATTCCTACAAAGATGTACTTGGTAGTCTCGTTTTTGGAGCAGGTTGTTCTGCAAGCATCTCAAAACAATGGATGCTTCTGTCCAAACTAACTTAAGAGAAATTGGAGAGCCCCATCATTGAGCGAGCAAGTAGCAAAAACAGTGATTTAGGCCAAAGGCTTCAGGTTTTTTTCCCCATGGGCTCACAAAGAATGTTTAACTATTTCTAGCAGCACATGGTTTGGGAATGAGTTGCTTCTGATTAGTTATCAATTAGTTATCCTGTGAAATGTTTTTATCAATATAGTAGTGGGGCCCTATAAGATTGGAAATCCCATGATACACCCCCAAATGTTGCATATTCCAGGAAAGGATCTGATACGTGCTTCTTATTCTTGGTCAGGTCAGAGAGCGATTTGCCAACAATATTGCCTTTGAGCAGATCACACTCGAATCAGAACGGATCCGCCTCTTTCGTGAATTCCTGCAGTTGCTGGAGGTGAGCAGTCCCTGTTTCGTGTTTGTGCCTGGCAGAGCAGTTGGAGCAGTTGAATCCCAGCAAGGGATCTGCTTGAAACCCCATGAGACCTGTAGGTAGAGTTGAGCTGAAGGAGGATAGAGAAGTCAGTTTGCGATGGTGGTGGATATCTGTAGCTCTGGTGTAGGATGAGGTTGGAGGTTCATTCTCCGAGCTTGTGGGTTTCCAGACATTTCGTTACCAGGCTAGGTAACGTCTTCAACAGAGTTTAGGGGAAGAGAAGGCGATGGCAATGGGAAGGCTGTGTTCCAAGGGGCCCAGGTAATTAAGTCCTCCTTTTTCCCCAGAGTGAGTGCCAGCATTTCCATACCAAGGCCAAGAAGCACGCCAAGAAGCCAAAGAAACATCATCGCAAGCACTCTGCCTCGGTGAGATTTGGGGAGGACAGACTCAATGGAGTGTGCAAATAAAAAAATGTTGGTCAAGGGTAGCTGGATTCCCCTGGGTTTTGAACTAAGCTACTGTCAGGTTCAATCCCAGAGATGAGACAATGAGATCCAATCAAGCCCAGTCTTTTATTTGCTTACACCAAATCTTGCCAAACTATATCTTGACAGAATCTTGTCAAACTAAAGCTGTAACCTCTAAGCTCCTAGATCAGAGATCTCCAACCTTTCCGGGCTCGCAGATCGGAGGGAAGGAGACTAGCTTCAAAATTGGTGTGTGCGCACAGGGCCACGCACACAGGCACGGCACTAGCAGCCCCGTTCGCACTAGCAGCTGGCACCATGCACATGGCCACGCATCTCACGTGGCAGCTAGCAGCCTGTTTGCACATGCGCTAATAGGTCACGGAACCCACCTGGGCTAGCGGCTCATGCGCAAATGGGCCGTAGACACCCGTCCCACACTAGCATCCCTGTTTGTGCCCACGCGCAAATGGGGCAGCGGGCGCTAGCGCGAGGGACGAATGTGCGCACCGGCCAGCCATTTCTACAGCCTGCTGGCCAAGAGCTCATGGCCCTGGGGACCCCTGTCCTAGATATATCCTGAGAGCCCCTAGAAGCTCCCAGGCAGGCATGTCAAAGTGCCGGCCCGCGGGCTGGATGCGTCACGATGAAACTGCACCCACCCCATTGCTGGCAATGGGGAAAAAGTCGCGATACGTCACAACACGTCACGTGATGTCGCAACACGTCACGTGATGTCGCAAGTTTGACATGCCTGTTCTACGATGTGTGATGAACCTCCCCCCCCCCCCATACAGTTTAGGACTGCACAGTCTCTTAATCCAGGCCTCTCTGGGAAAGCTCTGAGTTGGCCAAGTCCTCGGAATTTGAAGCACCTTGTCTCAGATGCAATTAGGCTGTTTAGGATATCTTGAAAGTATCTTGAACCAGAAGCAGCTCTGCTCTGAGAGAGACACAGTCTACTGTGAGCTTGAAACACTTCCAAAATGCTCAAAAACAACCTGTTCCACGTGCAAAAAGGGGCATTTTGCACTTTCAGCTTTTCAGTTTTGGGAATGGCATTTCAGGTTCAATTGGAAACTGCGTTTATTCCTACCCCCCCCCCCAAGGCTTTTCTTCCAGCCTGTTCACCACTGTTATGCCAGATTTCCCCCCCCCCCCCGGTGCCAGAAAATTTCAAGGGCTTGTGGGGTGCAGTACAATGAAGGGCAAGAAGCCAGAGGCACCACCTTAGACCTCAGGAGGGCTCATCTCTTGCTTGGCCAAGGAGTGGTAAGCTTGATCAGGACCTGTTAAACACCTCCCCATCTTTGAATTAAGGCACTGGGGGTTGATAAAGAGTTGCAGGGGATTAGCTTAGGAAAAGCTGTTCTAATGAGAAGGTTGCCTGGTGTGGGGATGATTTCTGCAAGCTGGCCACTCTCGTAAAGGATGAATAATGATGTCGGTTCAAGATCTAGGATTGTGCTGTTTACTAACACAAAAAAGCAGCAGCTTGGCCTGATCCTTTCCTGTGCCTCTTCCTCGATAGCTTTACTTTTGCTTATTTCTTCATCCCGTGCCTCTGCCCACTCTTCCTTTGCCAGTGGCTGTCTTGGTGAGTCCTTCTTTTTGTCCCACAGGGTTCAGAATCGGGCTCAGATCATCCCCACCGAGCAGCCAAGCGCAAGAAACGAAACCACTCGGAATCAGCGGGTTCAGGTGCCTCGTCCTCAGCCGATTCAGGTCAGGCTTGGATGAGAAACTGGTTAGCGCCATAGAAAACAAGCCCTAAATGGGAAACTAGGCGTGTGGGCTCTCCTCGTATATGGAAAAATCCTATAAAGCAACTGTCGGCATTGGCTTGTCTAGGACAAGCAATGTTATTGCTGTGTTGTGCTTTCTTGTTTTTTAAGAATATATTTTTCAGCCTTCGAGGGTGAAAAGCACATGTTGTAGATACAGAGAAAGTTCAGGGAGTGGATTTTGGGGGTTATTTTTTTTCACATTTTGCATAATGCTTACGGACAGTTAAGACATGAAGAGGCATGTCAGCCTTAGCAAAGTTGTTTGTGGCTTCTGCTGTTTTTGTCCAAGTGACGACAGACTACAAGTGTTACCTTTTTGGGACACCTGTACAATTAAGACGATGTTCAAAAGGGGCGGGAACCACAATACATCATTTTCATCAGGCTCTCCCATTTGGTATCCCTCCCTCCCCGCCTCCAGGCAACCCTCCTGGACTCTTCACATTACCTATTTTAACTTGTTTAAAAACTCACAAAAAACGATGGGCTGAAATTCTTTTCCCCAATAGAAGTTTCAATAAGTGTTCTTCAGTGGCTCTCGAGACTGTAAAAATGAGGAAGCTCCCACAGCATGTTGGTCATCCTCAACTTGATCAAGTTGAGAAAGAAAAAGACACGGATAGGTAGCATCTGCATCACTCCATCCCCCAATGTTCGGCCACCCTCCCAGGACCTCTGTGAGATCCTTGGCCTGCTGCTGTGGAGTCACTGCTGGGAGCAAGCTGAGGTTTTCCCAGGAGAAGGCTGGGATGGTCAAACTCTCTCTGTCTGCACACAACTTCCTGTCTTCCTGCAGAACATAGCCCCAGGCGTGCCAAGAGGCAGAAGAAGAAGAGCAAGAAGAAACGGCATAAGTCGGTGAGTGGGTGGTGGGAGCAGAAGGGAGGCAAGGAGACATCCAGGTGGAAGGGACCAATTGCATAAAGCCAAGCTCCTTGGAAAAAAGGGCAGTTCTCCTGGCAGCTCCCTCTGTATGGGTCTCGATCTGCAGAGTAGGAGCAGGTATATTATCTGGGGATTCAAAGGAGCAGCCAGGACTGAAGGTACAAATGTTCCCAGGTAGCACCAAACCCACTTGGCAACGTTTGGTACTTCGCAACCATTTTATCTCAAAAGCCTACATTGCTGGTTTACAATCTTTGGGGCTCATTTGTCTTCCTAGGTTGTGCTAGCCTCATATCACCGAATGGGCCAGTCACCCACCTACCCCTCCTCCCAGCCCCCCCCACCTCGCAAACTGTTTCTTTTACAGAACAGCCCTGAAAGCGAAGCTGAGCACAAGAAGGAGCCAAGCCGGGCAGAAGAGTGGGAGCGAGAGAAGGCCCCTCTGCGACCTGAGGGGAGGGGCCACTCCCCTCCCCGGGGTACTCGGAGGGAGCGGGTGAGACGGGGGGGGGGGAGGGCAGAATCCCAGCCCAGGAATGGCTTTTCCTAACCCAGAGGTGGGGAACTATGGCCCTTTTATGACTGGTGGACTTCAACTCTCAGAATTTTAAAACCAGCATGGCTGGCTCAGGAATTCTGGGAGTTGAAGTCCACCACCATAGTTCCCCACCCCTGTCCTAACCCTTTCGGGTGGGGAATCGAAGACCACAAAACAGGTGGGACAATTAGGGGGGAATTTGGGAGAGATTTGGATTCAATTTCTTTTTTAAAAAATAGTGACTTGTCCGTTTTAGGAGATTTCACCTCAAAATGGCAGAGAACTGCTCTCGGTTTTCAACAGTCTTGATTGTTTGGCGCTCTAGGGCAGGGCTTTTCAACCAGTGGTACAGGTACCACCTGTGGTACATTGGCACCTGGCAGGTGGTATGGGACCATCCTAGAAAAGTGGTAGCAGGGGAGGGGAATGAACTGAACTGGTGGCAACACAGCAGAAGCCTGAGCGAGAGATGGCTGAAGCTGCAGGGCTGTCAGGGCTCAACAGAAGTGCCAGGATCAGTGCCGCTTTCCAGCTGATCGGTGCTTCTTCGGGGCTGTCAGGGCTCAGTGGACGTGTCAGGATCAGCACAAGGCTCTAGCTGGAGCTCAGCGCTGATCCTAGTGCTTCTGCTGAGCCCAGAAGAAGCACCAATCAGCTGGAAAGCAGCACCGATCCTGGTGCTTCTGCTGAGCCCAGAAGAAATGCCGATCAGCTGGAATGTTGCAGCATCTCCAGGGCTTTGTGATTTACATTCAGATGCTTGGCAACTGATTCATATTTATACGGTCACAGTGTCCCAGGGTCATGTGAAGTGACCAAAAACTGCTGCAACCATCAGCAGATGGGGGGGGAATAAAAACCAAACAACCCCCACCCCACCTCCGCTGCCAATCCTCAACAGAAATGCTCACAGCAATGAAAACCTCCGGCAGGAGGAAGAGCGCAGCCGGGTGGGCAGGCAGGTGTCTTGCTCGGCTGTGGCTTGGGGGGGGGCACTTTTTTCAGTGCCATTGTAACTTCGAACAGTCACTAAGCGAACTGTTATAAATTGAGGACTACCTGTACTTTTATCACTTTTTTCCTTTTTTTTTTTGTCATCAAGTTTTTGACACCTTGCTAGGCTATTGTGGTACTCGGATATTTCCATATCCTAAAAGTGGTACAATGGGTGAAAAGGTTGAAAAGCCCTGCTCTAGGGGGTCATATAAAGGGACTTGCCCATCCCTGCTTTAGGACATGGAGGATGGAGGAAAATAGGAAAAAGAAAGGCTTGGAGGGAAAGCCGGATGAGAGGTTCTTACCTGCCTTCTTTCTGCTGTCAGAGTGGTTGGGACACCTCAGAGAGCGAGGAGCTGAGCGAAGGGGAGCTGGAACGTCGGCGTCGGACTCTGCTGCAGCAACTGGGTGACCAGTAATTGACCCCTGCCTCTTTTGAGGCACCCCCAACACCATTATATGAGAAGCATTCAGTCCTTGTCCCTGTGGCAACTTTGCCTTGTTTTAGCCTTGGTGGCATCCAAGCCAAGCGTATGCACTGCTCTTGCTGGACCCCACACGTTGGGTCACAGCCTTCTTCATTACATTCACCTGCGTCTAAGAGGGGAGCAGCTGCTCCTACCTGTTGGCAGCAGTCACCTCCAGTGACACCACCTGTCTACATGAAGCATCAGAACAGGGAGGAAAGTTTAGATGTTCCTTGTGGATCTGGAGGGCATCTGCAACATTGAAACCCGGCTCGTGGATCATCCAGAAGAGGATTGGGGGAATTGCATCTGAGCACCAGAATGAATGATGTCTGTCTCCGCACAGACTTCACCAGGGCCACACCAGCCCAGAGCCTCCTTTGGCCTAGATGCAAAATGGCGGCAGAAAACAGCTAAGGTACAGCATCAGTCTTGTCTAATGTGGAGACAGGATTGCGCTACGTGGTCTTCTGGAAGGTTATCGCTGTGACTGGATCCTTTCCCCTGGTTGCAGTATCCCCTTGTGAGTTAAGGATTTAATGGAATTTTTAAAACAATATTTATAATAAATCTGGACTGAAAATACCAATCTATGGCCTCCTGTAGGAAATTAGTTTATATTAGTTCCAAATGATTTTAGGGAAAAAAAACTCAGCTTATTTTCATAACCTGTTAGACTGGATCTATAGTTGCCTCTAATCCCCAAAATAACAGAGGACTTGAAAGTATGCTGGCAGGTGTATATATGTGTGTGTGTGTGTATGTATGTGTGTGTGTATGTATGTGTGTGTGTGTGTGTGTGTGTGTGTGTGTGTGTGTGTGTGTATATATATATATATATATATGATAGGAAATAAAATGATCACCAGGGTAATAAAACTATAAAATTTATTAAAAAGCGCCTAGCTTTCGCCGTCACCTGCCGGCATCCTCAGGGCTAGTGCGCCAGGGAGTGGGAGGGTCATTCTTATAGGTGTGGTGAGGTCTGCGCACGACTCCTCGACCTCGTCATCGGGCCTAAATAGGATAACTGCGTGCGGCTGGTCTGTTCCTTTCTATTCATCTCAACCGCCCGTTCATCCTCCTCCATCCTTCTCTCCCTCAATCTTGAGGTGGGCGGGCAAATGTCTCTATGGTTGCAACAGTCTCTATGTTTGAGCTCTTTTCCCTCGGGGGTAGATGGCAGTGTGCATTTCGTGTTTCTTTTACAGTCCTCCTTCGTTCCATCGTTCTTCCTATGGCAAGTTTTTTGTTGTTGAATTTTGGTATTTTTGTTTCTTATACAGGTATCATTTAAGTGATCACATGGGTCCTTTCGAGGTAGTTGTAATTCGTTAACGGTCTGGGGCTGGAGGGGGGGACCTTTCGAATGTGGAAGGGGTAGTGATTCTTCAATTGTCCCTGTGTGTAGTCGCTTTGTGCGCGCTGCGCCCTGTTCGGGCGGTCCGGAAAGGGTAGCGGTGGGGCCATGCCTTCGCTCTTCCTCTTGGGGTAGGTATCGTCCAGGTGATCTCACACGCCCCTCCCGAATAGATATAGTTCGTCGGCAGTCCAAAGCCGAAGGGCAAGCCATTCGGTCGTGGGTGGAGGGGGGCGGAGGCTCCCCGCCCGTCGCCACCCCCAGCTGTCCGGCGCGTCTCCTGCTATGAGTGATCGATCCGGGGGGAAGGTTAGCAATAGAGTCGTGATCTGTTTGGTCTTTGCAGCGTCCTTCCTCGCTACAAGTAGGTATAGATCGTCGGCAGTCCGAAGCCGAAGGGCAGGCCATTCGGCCATGGGTGGAGAGGGGCGGAGGCTCCCCGCTCGTCGCTACCCCCAGCTGTCCGGCGCGTCTCCTGCTGCGGGTGATCGGTCCGGAGGGGAGGGTAGCGATAGAGTCGCGATCTGTTTGATCTTTGTAGCATCTTTCCTCGGCTTGTCTCCTCCTCCCTGCGTCGTCGGTGGTCATACGGATCCTCCGAAGCTCTCCGGAATATGCAAGCGGGGGGAACGGTGGCTTGATCTCTTGAGTTCTTTCTCCTTCTTGCGGTTTCCTCTCTCCTAACTTGGTCCCCTTGATCCAGCGGGGGGCTCTCTCTTTTCTTTCTGAAATGACTGGCACGTTTCCTTCCATATGCAGGTGGGTTGCCATATCTAAGGGTCTCCCCCCTCCTCCAACCGCGATGTCTTCCTTAGTATTGGTCACCACATTTCGAGTATCTATATCTTCCTTAATGCCATTAGAGTTATTATTGGAACGTCGGGGGTGCTGTCCTTGATTACTAGTGCTCCACAGCCTTAAAGCCATATATGCCGGGCACAGGTCCACATGCCGGTTAATAGAATTGTCATCCGAGAGCCATGCCTCCTTAAGTAGGCGGCCCCCCTTGGTATTGTCGCTAGCCAATACGCTGACCTCACTGAAATTAAATTTGTGATCTAGTTCCGCCATGTGTGCCCATATTTGAGAATGTGGATCTCCCCTTCTTACTGCTAACTTATGCTCGTGGACCCTGGTTTTAATCCGTTTGGCTGTCTCCCCAACATAGTTGGATCGGCAGTCCATACAATTGATCTTATAAATGGCTGCCGACCTTTCAGTGTTGGGGAGCGGGTCCTTTGGGCGCATTACAGCTGCCCGCAGTGTTTGGTTGGGTCTATGGGCCACTTGTATCTTGTGCGGTGCTAAGATCCTTGCAGTGGCCTCTGAGACGTTGTGGATATAGGGGAGAGTAATACGTGTGGTTACTTGGGATGTAAGTCTTTGGGGTGTGGGGTCACTCCGGGGTCCAGATGGTTTGCTGAACCGATTGATAAATTTGGCCGGGTACCCATTGTGTTTACACACCCGGAAGAGATAATTTCTCTCCTCCCTCTTGGCTCTGGCAGTGCTGCAGTGCGACTCCACTCGCTTGAATAAGGTCCTGACACAGCTGGCTTTATGAGCCATGGGGTGATTGCTCTCAAAGTGTAACATCCTGTCTGTACATGTGGGTTTTCGGTATACCCTGGTAGTCAGACATCCGTCCACCTGGCGCTGTACTAACACATCTAAAAACGCTAAACTGCCCTGGTGTTCCTCTTCCATGGTGAACTGGATGTCTGGGTATACCGAATTCAGGATGTTCATAAAGCCAGTCTTGTGCCGCTCCTTGATGACCGCAAACGTATCGTCCACATAGCGGGCCCAAAATTTTGGTTGGTATTGGGCCAACGCTATGTGTTCCAGTCGCTGGAGCACCACCTCTGCGATCACGCTGGAGATCGGCGACCCCATTTAGGCCCGATGACGAGGTCGAGGAGTCGTGCGCAGACCTCACCACACCTATAAGAATGACCCTCCCACTCCCTGGCGCACTAGCCCTGAGGATGCCGGCAGGTGACGGCGAAAGCTAGGCGCTTTTTAATAAATTTTATAGTTTTTATTATCCTGGTGATCATTTTATTTCTTGCCATGAATATTCCCAGGATTCATGTTTTTAATCTTCTTAAACTTATATATATATATATATATATATATATATATATATATATATATATATATATATATATATATCTTAGGATATGCAAATATCCTAAGTTGGTACATGTGGCAAAGTAGCCATGCTGGATGTATATAAAGTGAGTATGACATTCATCCATAATCATTGTGTGAATAAATGAGCAAATGCTGATCAGATTTCTGATTTCCACATTTTTAACTGATGGATGCATACTTCCATATTTATTACCTTATACTAGAATTTATCAGGTACACTTAGATCAGGGGTTCCCAACCCCTGATCCGTGGACCAGTACCACGTTGCGTCATGCCAGCAACCGGTCTGTACAAACAAGCAAAGCCTCATCCACGGGATGCAGGCAGCACACAAAACCACGCACCCTCCAGTCCGCAGAAAACCCCTCTCCATGGAACTGGTCCCTGGTCCCCAAGGTTTGGGGACTTCTGACTTAGATTATTTCCACAATATGTTCCTTTACAATTTCCTTTTCTTAAAACAGCATTTTCTCTAAAGTTGACCTCCCAATTCACTAGATAATGGCTGCCATCTCTGGTCCTGAGGAGATCTTAATTAAAAGTGACTTTAGAGAATTTCAGATCTCTTTTCAAAGTATACTTAGGAATCCCAAGAAATTCAAAACATATTCAGAGATGGGGTGTATGTGTTGGGGGCTGGATCTGACCCTTTTAATAGCTTTCTCAAGGGATACAGACATGCTCCATTCAGCATCTCTCAACAACAGTATAAGGGTTTTTTTCTGGGGGGGGGGAATTGCACAAACCAGGGAGGTGAAAAGACACATTCATTGGCAATAAATGCAAAGGTGTATAGCCTTTGGTTCTGTTTTATTTTTCCCCCTTCTCCCATTAGTCGAAATTCTGTACAGTTCAAGGGGAAGGCAGGCACTGGCTTACAGTATAATCAATAATAATTTTCACATGTACAAAAAACTTGCATCTAGCTACACAAAAGGACTATGCTGAAGTGGTTATGCTGTAAACTGTCCAGAAGTAACACCAAGAATACTCTGCCTGCTTGGAATTAGCATTGCCATGAACAGGGTCAAAAAGCTCTGGGAGAAGGCAGAGAGTGGAAAATTGGTCTCATTTGGTTTATTGGAGGAAAATAGTGTTTGCTTCAGAAATCGAAGTGGCTACCACTCCAACCTTCTCCCCAGATTTTCCATATAGCATTGAAATAGTGTCAAGTTCATTGTTATTTCTAAGGGTGTTTTCACACTTGGACATTTTTTCATGACTGTTTTTATTTTAGGAGCTGGATCTTAAGTTTCCATGCTGGAAAAAGCAAACATTCTGAATGGCAGAAGTCTTTTGTCCTTTGGCTGCACTGCAGCAGGAAGGTTTGATGTCTGGCCCTTGTGGCAGACGAAAAGCAAACTAGCCACTACATGTCCTCTAGACAATTGTGTGTGCCTTGCTTTTATTGTTTTCGCAATGCCACTGTTCTCTGAACAGGACCAGTGTGTGCTGACTTTCCCATCATTTTATTGCCAAGTGCAGCCCTCCAGATGTGTCTCGGAAGCACAAAAACAAGGCATAATAAGTTACCCGGCTGGTTGTCTCCAATAATTGCATACAGGACACTATCCTGAGCCCCTTGGATGAAAGGAACAGCATAAAGTTCCTGCTGTCATTCTGTAAGGAATAAGCTATGATGCTATTACAGTTAGGACACAATGGTCACGAAAAGCATATGCATGTCCATGCCACAAATGTATACCTGTAAACCATCAACATTTGAGATGATGTGTTGTATTAGCATTCACAATGCAATTCTAGGCCAGGCTGCTTCAAAATTGACATCATTGTGTTCTGGGTCATTTCTCCCAAGTGTATATGTGAAAGCAACCTAAAAATATGACTGATAGTGTTGAACATCAAGATAATGAAAGAATCCTTGATCTCTAGGCCTCCTTGCAAGCTAAGTAGTTAAGAGAGTAACCAAGACTGGACAAACTGAATCAAATGAACTGCATAGATGATGTTATGAGACTTGTAATTCTGCCTGGGATGGTATGTTAAAAAACAGCCTTTATAGGAGCTATCTAGAATGCTGACGCCCAAACCTTTGCAATGCTACTTGCAATTTGTTCCTGCCCTTTGTCCAAGGGCTTGAGAGTAAGAGAACCCTTCTTAGGCTTGAGGATTGCATTATTCACTTCCCAGCTTTTACTAAGACATTACCCAGCAATCATTCAAATTCAGTGTTTTTAGGTTCCTTCTGGCATACATTCAGAAGTGTGGGTGCTTGTGGTCCCCACTGTCTCTCCACTGTTTTAACTTACTCTTCTCAGTCATTCCTGTACACTAATGTCCTGTCTCAATCACATACAATACATACAGATATTTGTACTTTAATTCTTTCATTGCCTGGTCTTGGATGAAATGTGGGCATCTGAGACAACATTTTGCTAGTTATAAGGCTGGATTAAGTGATTATAAATATAGTGCCATGAACTCTCTAAACCACTGGTGTCAAATTCGCCGTGTCACATGATGTATTGCAACTTTTTTTACATTGCCGGGGCTTGGGTGGGCACAGCTTCTGCATGATGCAACCAGTCCGCCGCGGGCCGGCAGTTTGAGACATCTGCTCTAAACACAAAATGAAACATCTTGATGACAACTGGCAACAGGATTCCGTGTTTTCACCAGTAAGGCAAGTCTCAATTTAGTTTGCTTAGTGAATCGGGAGTACAAATACATAAAAACAGCACTAAGGTTAGGACAAGGCGTTACCCATTCTATATGTATTCCATCAACAAGAACAGGTGGAAATGGGATAGCTGGCATGTTTAGTTTTTCTCTTTTCAGCAAGATACGCAGGGAAAAGAACCACAGGGCCAAGAATAGAGTTACACATTAATCAATCATCACTTTAGGGGTTTAGATACATGCCCCTTTCTTTAAGCAAGTTAAGTGTGACTGATTTCAGTGGGGGTGTCCCTAAACCAGTGGTTTTCATATTTATAAACACTGCAGTGAATGAAGAGGTAAGGATATTTGATCAATAGTGATACTAGTTACAATTTGCCAGCTTTAAGAGGCAGATGACATCTTGACTGAGAGAAACCATAGAGATTATAACATAGCGTAACCTCCCTGCCCCACCCCACCCCAATGCAGAAATGGATGATTCGTATTTGGCTGATGGGGAATTCTATCTTAACCATATTGTTAACTCCCCCTCCCAAATGATATTAGAATTCTGAATACTGTGTTTAATGTTAGAAGAGTTTACTCAATCAATTTAATATTAAAGGGCCAGAAATAAAAAGCAACCCCCCCCTTTCCCATACACTATCACAGAAAGAATAGAATGAGGAAGTCTAATAAAAGAGAAGGAAGGAAGGAAGGAAGATCAAGAGTTCTATTCCACAAAGTGCCAACACTGTGCGATCCATTCACCTTTGTTGTGTCCTGTTCTAAAATGGGTGGAGAGTCTGAATATCATGCTAAGGCTACAGTCCTGTGCCTCCCCTAAGTGGTCTTCCCTGTGCAGACAAATATAAAATCAGACCATTGATCTATCATCCAGCAACTCAGTCTTTGCAGCAGCTCTCCGGTATCACAAGAAAAGCGATTTCTCCCAGCCATCTTGAGATAACTCTAAAAGTAGAACCTGAAATATTCACTGATGCAAACCATGCATTTGGCACAGCCATTGATTTGCCTTGAACTTCAAAGCCATCTCCTAAACCACAGGCTTTAGGAGCAAAATTCAGATTCCCAAGCAGAAATCTATCAAGCATGCTAAATCTGCCAGAGAGCCACCCTTTTTTCGGGTGTACAGGCACTCTGGCCCTGAGAGCTGCATGTAGGAGATGGATGAGGGCCATACCTAGACAACTGTGTCCATCTCTCTGTATTTTACCACAGAGCCTCCCTTCTCAGCAATCTCAATGTGACTGAAATTGCTGGGGGAGTTGCGAAATCACCCTTCTCTACTTTTGGAATAAGAGTATAACCATGACCTAATGTTCCTAGCAGACCTAGCAACCATGGAACAGAGGACTCTGAAGAATAAGAAGCTGTTAGATCACAAGAAAGAAAGGCAGGATCAAAGAAGGCTGGCTGTATTCATGGAGGGTGGCATCAAAGGCCCTAGCAGGCCCAATGTAGCCCACATCCATTTTCAGCATAAGGCACTGAATTGGTTGCATTGTAATTCTTTGGCACAGTTTAATACAGGAATTTTATACAAGGGATACTTTTGCTCTATAACTTCAGGTGTGCCTGATCCAAGGGACCTTTTGTGTAATTGACCAGAACATCACAGCTGTTTAGTAATCCTAATTATCTTCTTGTCTTATGTGGGCAACGTCATTTTGGTGCAATCTGTTAGGCAAATCCTCTTCTGTGAAGTTAAAATCATAGTTCATAAATGTCCGTAAGACAAGACTAGTAAGTGATCTACTCTAGATTTTCAGAAGCAGAGACAGCTTCATAATACTAGAGTGCCAACTTCATCTAAAAATCTCTCTGATGAATTAAACTCTGTATCAACTTTCCTGAACTTTATGCTCTCCAAATAAATTAGCCATGCTGACTCCATCAAAAAGGGTAGTCTAACACATCTGGATGGTACCAAGTTGAAGAAGATTGATCTATGGAAGATCTAATTGATCTATTAATTTCCTAGCTGCAAAAAAGTGCTGTAAAATAAAAGGAGTCAAATTGGTTCTCTGAATTAAAAACAGTTGAAGAATCTAACCATTGTCAAGTGGTTTTATCCTAAACTATAATACCTCAAAATCTTTGGTCAGAAGTTATCAGGCAAGTTAAGAGAAGTTAAAGCAAAACCTGATTATCTCAAAGCATCCAGGCTGAAATAATAAGCCTAGTTTCAAACATCAACATAACAATTGCAAATGCATGTGAGTTAGAGATGGTTCCAACCTGGACAACCTTAAAGGATCAGGTGTGAGGGAGATAAATTAGTTCTATCTCTTGGCTTACATAATATTCACAAACAATTTAGTTCAAGATTCAGTGGCTGTATTTGCATAAATTGCTAAGGTTGGTTAGACTTCATGTCAATTATGGTTTGTTTGTGGTTTAGTGAGCTATGTACTCCTATCTCATAGTTTCAACATATTATGAAAACCAGAAATTGGTTACTTCAGTAACCAGGTTGAAACAATCCAGCCATGAGGTAATATTTATAGATAAGTTCTTTAGTACAGGATCTCCTGAAACTATGAGGAATTCCATTTTTAAAAAGGCTTACTCCAAAGTAGTTTAGGGAATTCTGCCCATTTTTTTCTTTTTGATGATAGGAAATCATGTCATTTACCCTTGATTAATGAATAAAAAACAGTAATGAATTAAAACAATTTGGTCAAATTCATCAAGAATAACCTTCATGCATAACTTAACTTCCACTAATTTTGAAGGCTTCAATAAGCGTAATAGGCAGTGCTACATTTTGTTTGGTCCACCAACTATAAAAAAGAACTGAATAGAACATGCCACATACAAATAGGAAGATGATTTTCATCCTTTGGAAACAAGAGTGTCTAAAAAATTGAGACAGGCTGTAACCTACCCAGGAATTTTCTTGAGATCCCCAAGGGTTGGCTAGCCACTATCAGTTCCCTGCTATATCAACACAGTTACTTTTGTGCAGTTGAGACATGAGACTTTGGTCTTATTTTTTCCCTTTGGAAGAAAGGTTCCAGTGGTTTTCCAAGGCCACCAAGGCTTAGCTTTTAAACTCCCCAGAGTCAGCTCTGAGGAAAACCACACAATTGCAGAAGACTGCTCCTGAAAAAAAAGATTTTCCACAAGACCTGATCTGTATACAAGGGCCTACTACCAGAGACTGATTTTTCCCTGCTGCAACACATCAGGGCCTAGCAACGATAGTGCTCATTGTCTCCATCCATTAAAGACAAGTTGAAAGGTCAAAGTGCAATTCTGGTTTGGATGCTTGAAGCTTGAGGCTCTAGAGGAGGGTGCCAAGCTCCTGCTGCTCAAGGCCCTTCTCAAAAGCCAGAACAGTCTCATCTGCCCAAGTTGACATAGTGATGGGCTGCAGGAGCAAGGGACTCGTAGGAAGGAACATGTATGTACAGATTAAAAATATATATCTTAAATTATAAAAGAGTAAGAATAATACTGTTGCAGGAAGGCACTTTTTAAATGTCCCTTGGATCCTTCAGCTGAAAGTCTTTGAAAGAACGGAAGTTGCTTCTTTGGCAAAAAATAACAAGGTCTGGGCCACTAGAGTGCAGCATTCGCCAGTTGGAAAGGCAGGGCATGTAGGAATCTACAGGAGAAAGAAAAATGTTGTCAGAAAGGAGCAGGGCATTCCCAAGGAGTCCACAAAGGAGGGATAGCTAGGGATACTGTTAAGATATTTAAATTTAGTAACTGGAACAGCGAGGTTATACAATGAGCCAAATATATTATACAGTTATAGTTGACTGGTTGGAGATCGCTGGCTCCTCTGTGAGGCTCCTGCGTGATTGGTTGCTGCGGGTGTGTGTGGGGGTTCCCTTCCCCCCCTTTTTTCTTCTGTGTTCTCTGTATGCTGTTCGATTTACCTCATGATGCTCCTGTTTGCCTGACTATTTTACGATGTATATATATATATAGGTGTAAAATATCTTTATTCGGACATTTGTTGCGCAACTCCTGACAGATGCTCTGAAATTAGTTCATTTTTGCTGCCAGATGAGGGGGAAGAAGGCAGATGACAAAGCCACTATTTGTATCTCCAGAGGACTTTTAAGAATCCATCAAGGCTACACCCTTCCTCTAATGAAGCATTTTGCTTTGCGGAAAGCATACAAGAGACAACATTTTCCCTTTAGAAGTGCTTTCCTTTGTCTAAAAAAGGACTTCCACCTTCCTTCATCAGAAAGAGTTGAAGAGCGAAACGTCAGTTGGGGATGGGCAACTGCCGCGGCTACCTATTCACTTTGTGCCTAAGTGCAAACATTTGGTTGTTGGTATCCCATGTAGGCAGCAAAACTGAAATTAGGCTCCAGGACTCCAGAGAGCTGAGTTTTCTTACTCACTGCTGTGGATGACTTGAGGGGGAACTAGAAGCAAATTGTTCTTGCTGCTATGGAGACAATTAGAACAAAAATTCTTAGACAATTCTTTAAACAAAGAGCAAGGCAGTGGGGGAGAAAAGGGAAGCTATTTTCTATCCACGTAAGACATTCTAAGAATACATAAAGATTGGAAAAATACTGCCCATTTATCCTTATAGAAGCTCTGGTGGTAAAGTGGTTAGAATGCAGTATTGTGGGCAAACTCTGCCCAACGTCTGGAGTTGAATCCTGACCGGCTCATGGTTGACTCAGCCTTCCATCCTTCTCAGGTAGGTAAAATGAGGACCCAGATTGTTGGAGGCAGTATGCTGATCTCTGTAAGCCACCCATTTGCATAAAGCCAACTCCTAAACTCTTGGCTAAATCTGAAGTGCAGATTTTCCTACCTGTTCATAAACATCATATTGCATGCTGCTTAGCAGGAATGCAAAACTGGCCCACTAGCCCAGGCTAACATGCTTTCCAATCAACTATGACCTGAAATCCTTTAAAGGATTCCATTTCTCTCTTTTGTGAGCCTCTAGCATGCTTAATTTTCTGCTTGGAGCCCACTTTGCATAGTAGTCCTTATACGGAAAAAGACAAAAGTTCTGAAGAAACATTTTTCTGCTTCTTTTGATTCAAAAACAGGCTCAGCCAAAAGTTGACTCAGCAGGTTATCTGGAAGATCAATGGATACTTTAACTATGCAAGTCATAAGCCAGGACATACATCCTTCCAGGTTCAGCCCATTTCTCTAAAACATGTACTTATAATACAATCCATTTCTCAATTTTCAGGGAATGAACCCTCCTGACTCAAAGGTGATCAATTAGAAATGACTAAAATTGCTTTCATTCTCTCCTTTCTATTCAAGACAACCTTGGGAGCTGGATGGTAAAAAGGGGGGGGGGAATGCTTCTCTCCACCAATAATGTATTGGATTTCTGTGTTTCTGTATTTCTATGGTAGATGTCAAAGACCAGAGCTTTTCATCCTTTCTTCATCTGATTCACCTTGAACTAATCTGTTCCTTTGGCTTGGAGCACTTAATTGTATAGCTGCATCAAGAAGAAATATGAGATTAACCGTGGCATCCTTGGTGTTCCCTGAGCTTGGTGAGTGATATGAGTTTAAGCCTAATTACAGATTGTCACAATCCAGCAAATAGCAATACAAGAGCAATAGTACTTAGACTTATACAGGTAGTCCTTGACTTACAACAGTTCGTTTAGTGAATTGTTCAAACTTACAACGGCACTGAAAAATGTGACTTACGACCATTTTTCAGAGTTACGCCTTTGCAGCATCCCCATGTAAAATTCAGATGCTGGCAACTGGTTTATATTTATCAGCATTGCTGTCCCCCCCCCCCAGCACTGCAACCTACTGACAAGTGAAGTTAATGGGGAAGCAGGCTACTAACTGATCAACTGCAGTGATTCACTTAACAACTGTGGCAAGAAAGGTTGTAAAATGGAACAAAACTCACTTAACAAACGTCACACTTAACAACAGAAATTTTGGACTCAATGGTGGTTGTAAGTCAAGGACTATACCGCCCCATTATGCTTTATAGCACTCTGTGGGTGGTTTACAATGTCAGCATTGATTCTAAATGGTAAAACTAAAAGCTAGAAAAGTCACAGCCAATGCTTCACTTAGTCACCAAAGCACACTCTTTTTCTTCACCTCAGGACCTTTAGGTGAGTACTTAAAACATACAGATCCCACATCTGCAGTCTGAACTGATGCAGTCTAACTTTAGCAAAACAATGTGCCACTTGCACACTTTGGCCTCCAAAGAAGAGGTCCAGCAGAATCTGGTTTTGGGGACAGGATTGTGATGGTTTTCTTGATTACGCTAGCAGACACCTTTTCATCCCCAGTGAATATTTCAGCAGCACCAGTGAACCAGTTACCCAACCCCAATCCCATCCCCTTAAATCAAGGGTGGACTTAGTAAGCTAGTATATACTGTATTAGTGTGATAAGGTGATCCTGGGAACAGACGACAGACTGAAAGATGCAATCAGGAGAGGATATCTGATAATCTTGCCATGCCAACCATGCAGGGATAAGAAAAACAGGTTGATTCCTCTGAGTCAATGCAGGGATTCTCAACAGTGAGGGGCAAGGGGGCATCAACATTGTAGGGCTCAGTGCTTCTTTTAAAGTTGTTACTATTTAGCATTTTCTTTCAAAATGAGTATTTATGAAAAACAATGCTCTGCTCTGGGCCAATGCCTAAGGGGAAATAGAAGCTTTTTTTTTTTTTCAGAAGGAGGGGGGGGCAGGGATTCTGGCAAGGCCAGGGGGATTGTCAAACTGACCTTGCTGAAGTCCCTCTTCTTTTGTTCAACCTCTGATATCGAAGGCAGAACAGCTCCCAGCTGCTATTGGGATTTCTGCCCCATTCCACAGGGCAGTTCTGTTCCTGCACAGAGGTAGGTTCTGGGGAGCAGGAGCAGATCAAGGGGAAGGAGTTGAGAAGCCCTGAACTCATGGGAAAAGATGGGAAGGCATGCAAGAAGGAATTCTCAGGGTCCGTGGCGGAGAAGGAGTTGCATGCAGAAGAGGTTGCAGCTGACGTTCCAGGGTGGTACCTTTGATGGGGGATGAGTGGAGCTAACAGTTGGGCTCCTCGTGGTGAGACGGCTCACAGAAAAAGCGAGAGCCCCGCTTCGCTGTGCGGGCAGTGAAGGGGACACTCTTCAACACTGTGAGACGGAAAGGGATGGATGGACAGAGACATACAGACATCAGATTGTTCGATATGCAGTGCAGAACTTAAGATAAAACTTTCTGTAAGATATGCACCATGGCACATAAAACCACAGCCACCAACAATGATGCATCCAATGCTGGAAAGCTGGCGTTTCTGTTCTTTACAGGGCCAGTGGCCCAAAGCCAAGACTCCATCACATCAGAGTCGGCTTGGAAGAAGTCCTCTTCGTAGGAAACATGGATCGTTCCATTAGCCTTTTGGTTCCCAATGCATAGAGGAAAAAAAAACAATGTTTTAACTCTGCCCTGTTTTTTGCCCTAATAAGCAGGTTTACGGATACTCAAAGCATGAAAAAGCAGTCTGAGTTTAACACCGTTCAAGTGGGTGGTTAGGAGACATTCAATTCTCACCATTTCATTCTCATTGTCTTTCTCTAACAAACATGGATTACTCACATCCAGGATGGGAGGGGGACCCTGACAATCAGGACTGCTGCTACCAGCACCTTCCTTACCGCCACTTCTGGTTTGAGAAGACTCCAAATCAGACTTTTTGAGGAGCACCTACAATTATTTGTCAGAGCTGAGTGACAGCTGTCTGGCAGTTCTTTGATCAACCAGAATCTGCTCACAACATGGGCTCACCTTCTCAAGACTTAAAATTATAGTGATGTGGAAGCAGCAGAATAAGATGGGTGGTAAGGAGAGAGAGCTGTGGGCACCAGCCCCCCCCCCCCCCGGTAAAGCAGGCCTTTAAGGCCACATGCTGTCAGGGACTGGCAACTAACCAGGCCCTCCAGACCTCAACTGCAAAAATCTAGGCCCTCACTAGATGATGTCAGGATTTTTGCCTCCATCTGATGGTTGGGCAGATTTCTGTAGCCCAGACATAGCAGCCCAACAATTGATTCATAGTAGGATATCAACTGATCCCCAGAGAGTAACAAAAAGTGCCAAAGGAAGCAAAATTCCTGGAACTTTATTGAAAATTTAATCAAGGGGAGCAATTTTGTCAATCAGGGTTGGAAAATCTGCATGAGCAAAAATTCTCTTGCCTATGAAATAGTTGCTACAGAAGCCTCAGCTACTGGTTTTACTACTTTCTTGGACTTTTTGATGTGATTCAATCATGCTTCTGTTCAAGATGGGTGCTTTTTGAAATGCATCTTAAATCAATGTCATCCCTTATTAGCCTGGGAACTGCATGATTTTGAAGTCCGATTCCCTGTGAAAGGGGTAATGAGGACCAGAAAGGCCCTGGGCTAAAGTCAAGAGGACCCAATGCCCAAATATGTTGCAGGTAGCAGATCTCCTTTTTTGGCATCAAGGTAAAGTTTTCCCTGGAAGAACATGAGAGCCGAGCTAAGGAAATTCATATGGCAGGATCGGGAGTTACCTGTAATAATATCCTCAATGGTCCCATCTTTGCCTTCATAAACAGGCCTGTGGTCCTTGGCTTGGCGCCGCCTCAGCTCAGCAATTAACTCTTGCTGCTGCCATTTGTTGCGCTGCAAAGACAACTGGGGCTGGTCAAGGATTAAGAAGAAAAAAGCAAAAGACACTGCCCAGTCTGACCACCACACATCCTGTCCTGTGATCGATCCAAAAGAAGGTTGGGAAATCCAAACTGGGATTTATGTCATGCCCATGCAAAGTGGTTTTCTTTCATTCACAATACAATGCACAACATAATGAGTCAGAGAATGTCCAAACCAGACTGACATCATCTGTTGCAATGGCAAATACACACTAGCATCAGACTAATACTCTGCTCGAGCTCCTCCAGAAGACACTATATTGTCAAGGAAGGTTCATATCTGCCCCTGGACACAGAAGGTCAAGAATTTCCCTGAGAACAGATTTGTAGATAAGTAGGCAGCCCAAGTTGAAATATCTATATTTGTGATTATTTCTACATCAATATTGATACAAAACTATGGGAAAGCTAGCATCTCTTTAATGAGGAACCAATAATCAGGCCCTAAAATACAGAAGCAGAGACCCAGCGGGATGCCCATTCTAGAAGTAGGTGCAGATGGCGTAGGCTAGACGCCCTTCCATTCTCTGCTGAGACAGCACCCAAGAGTAGCATCATAGCAGCTGATACTCTAATGATATAATCTCCAAGCTAAAATATATTACAAGCAAGTTTAAGCTCTATCAAACCCCATGAGACATTATGATGAACCAGTCTTCCTGTGAGTTGACACCCTCCCTTCCTCAGGCTTCTCGGATTGTTGGCAATCGTACAACATGATGCCCTGGAGTATCTCTTACCTTCTCTAGTCTCTTAGCTTCTTGGGCCAATGCCTGCTCCCTTTGGGCCTGTTCCTGCTTCTTGCGCAGTTCGTTCTCTTGTTCTGCATCCTGAAAAAGAAAGAACAGTGCAGCAGTAGGGTGAAGAACTACTGATCAATGCATAGGCATCTAGCTCAACTAGACCTATTTGTTGGTTGGTTCTCCAAGGTCTCAGACTGGACAGTTCTATTCCAACCCAACTGCTATCTCAGATTATTTTATCTGGAGATATTAAGACTGGACCTGAGATTTTCTGTCTCTGGAGCAGGTACTTTATTTTTATTGTGCTTGTATATGTTTTCTGTTAAAAAAAAACACTTTGCATCTGTCTCCACATGGTTATTACCACTTATATAGCTAAACAGAGCAGACAGACAGAGCAGACAAACGAATGTGGTCCAGACTGTGGAAAGTCAAGTTCCCCTATGAAATACACCTGGTAGGTTTTACCTGCACTTCAGTGGGCAATGGTAGAAAAGGGTTATTCTGACCAGGATTGATGACAATTGTAATTCAACACATGAAGATGCCTGGTTAAATAAAACTAAGGGAATTCGTGGCAGACATTTCTCTTGTTTTTTTCCTTGGAAACTTCAGAAAACCTAATTTCTTCTTTTTTTGTACTCCTTAGAAACTCTTTTTTTATAATTTAGCTTCAATGTATTTCCCCATAACATAGACCTTTTAAAATGAATCACTGACCCCATTTCTGACAAATGCAGATCTGGTCACCTAGTACATTTGCTTTGTTGCATTTGAGATGAAGCAAGAGAGAACTTGCCATAATAAATGTTTTAATGAATTTTGAAAGGGCAGGTGCCCCCCTTAAGGGCCTCAGCCTGCAACAAGAGCCATATAAATACATCAGGCCCTGATTATCTATTCCACTGGGAACACTGCTCAGGGAAACTATTGTGAACAGTTCAAGCTGGAATATTAATACTGCTGACCAACACAGGTAGTAGACCTATGAGTGTCACTTAGCAGCTGTTTGAAGTTACAACAGACGTATCTGGGGCTACTTACAGCCTGGATTTGAAGTTTTAATGGTTCCCCCTCCCCTGGGCATGTGACCAAATTTTACGTGCTCAGCAACTGGGCTGCACTTACTGCTGTTTGCAGTGTCCCACATCATGTGACCACGTTTTACAACAGTTTTGCCAAAAACAAGTATTTACTTCCAGTTTTCTGCAAAACTTCTCCACCACGAACCAATGGTTCATGTAACAACCATGGGATTTGCTTAACAACTGTGGTCACTGCTTTACAACTGCCACAAAAAAAAGGTTGTAAAATCAGTTTGGTCATGTGACTGACTCATTTTATGACTGTCATGACTTATGACCATAATGGGCAGGCTCTATTACTGTCATAAGCCAAGGGCTACCCATACTTTGATATCCAGTGATATAAGAGAGTAGTTCTATGCCATTGCTATCCATAAAGACACCAGGTTAATGCACTCCCTGATTCTAAGTGCCTTGTCACTTAAAGAAACCACCTCTCACTTTCTCCATCTGGTTGTTTCTCTGCCAGCTGGCCTACCATTCTCTTCCTCTCTCTGGGCTGTGCTTGTCAACTCTGAATCTAAATCTGTGATGGCTTCCCCCCCAACAAGGGAGAAAAGTCTGTAATTAATGCAGATGATAGTTGCTCTGGAAAATGCTCTGGGGAGGCTAACGTTTTGGAAAGCTGCTTGGCTGAGATGAGTGGCCTGGCACAGGAGATCTCCATTCAGCGGAAAGGGAGTAGTTAGCCCACACAGGAAGAGAATTCTAATTCCCTTATTCACTGGCCATGCCTAGTCCCAGTCAAAGCTGCTTTCTCTTGGACCATGTCCAGAAGAGCTTAGTTATTTACGACTGGGCTCCCAAATTCATGCAAGCTCAAGCATGCAGTTCTGTTGCTTCTAAAGTAGCCAGCTAGAACAGTGTTTTCAATCTTGGCAGCTAAGGTTGAAAAATACTGATCTCGAATCTCCACTTCCCAACCCTCACCTTGTAGGATCTGATGAAACGTGCAAAGACTGGAAAGAAAACAGAGGGTGGTGTCGTCTTGGGACTCTCGCCAAAATAGCGCACAACCGTGTTGTAGGCTTCCTGTCACAAAAGATAAGCAAGATGAATGAAACAGTAGCTTCTGCAGCCTTCAGGCTTGCTGTAGAAAGAGAAGACTACCAAGCTTAACTGCCAGTACTTTTAAGCTTGAGTGTCAAAACAACCATCTTTGCCTAAAGCTCTACAAACTCAGAAATCCGATCTACACAACAGAACAGTGTTTTTCAACAGCTGTAAAGAAAAGGCATCCATTTCTCCATACAATCTGACTTTCTGGCACAAGAATATGAGCAGGGACAAGCACTCTCTGATGTCAGTCACACATCTCTGTTGTTGAATAAATATGGATTAGTCAAATCTCGCACTAAATGTATCTGCAAAATCACACATAGCAGGACTTTCCTACATGGTCCGGAGTGCAATCAGTATAGTAGTGGCCAAAATTGTGGAAACCTTTCAGGAAAAGTGTACAGTAGAAATGCCACCTTTGTTTAAGTTTCCACCCATTTTTCTTCTAATTTCTTTATAACTGTAGCCTTGTTCACTTAATAATACTATTTTACATCACTTTCTGGGCGACCAGTCAACTCTTTGCACCATTACTTTAATTTTATTACGTTTTACAAGCTTGCTAAATGAAAGAAGAAGAAAAAAACCCAACCGACTTGATAGCGATCACAAACATACTGACAAATGTTCTCCTCTCAGCTTCAATACATGACATCAATAACTGAATCTTACTGTGATCTGATTGGCTCATTGCCACAACAAGATGACACCTGATTGGCTCTCTAAACACTCATGCTCATTGGCTACAATCAGATGAAGGAAAGGTACCCGATATCAACCTAAGCAAGTTGTGCTTCCTTTTTCTGGTTATTTGGCTATAACTTTTCATAGAATACAGTACAGATAATTGAACAAACTATCTTGTATTATATTCTTGATTAAATTATCTTTCCATTGATATATAATTTTATGGTACTACTCCAAAAAAAAAGTGGAGTTATTAGCCATCAAACCTCAAAAATACACTTTTCCCAAAAGGTTTCCACAATTTTGGCCACTACTGTATATGAAGTTCATATACCAACTTCATGCACTTGATCGCTTCGGCAGCACAGAGAAGCAAAGCTTTGGTTGCAAGCTCTTCTCGATTAATCCTTGTCATCCAGTTGCCCCTCCACTCACCTCTGCAGTCTTAGCATCTTTCTGGAGTCGGTCCAACTTCCCCTCACTGGCAATCAAGAAGTTACGCAGGATACTATGTTCGTGCAAACTGCACTCCCGCCGAATCAACTCCATGCCACGCCCTAGTTCCTTCACATCCAGCAGCACGTTCTCCAGAGACACTGCGGAGTAAGAGAAGTCACCAGATGGGCCTCAGGACAACTTCAGCTGGAGAATTTCAAAGGGGTTTAATAGGCTTCACATGGGACTAGGAAAGCATTTGGATTCTGTTCCAGGGATGGGCAGAAGGTGTATCAGGATCTACAGGCAGATCTTTGGGAAAATAAAATGGATACCCCTTCACTCCTAGCCCAAATTTGATTGACATACAGAATGTTTTGAATAACTTAGTGCAACATTCAAGCATAAAGTCAATTGTATTCCGATACTAAAAAAAATCCTAGGATTAAAACTTGCTCAGAGGTACCTGGCACTTGTAGGTACGAGTCATGCCTTTTGTATTTAATTCTGGTTGATGACTCCCAGTCTGTGTTTAAGTTGCTCTGTTGTACGCTGCTACACTAATTTATTAACAATGTAATAATAATAATAATAATAATAATAATAATAATAATAATAATAATACAGCAAAAGGGGCAACACCAGGCAACTACAGGCCAATTACCTGCTTACCAACAACTTTCAAATTACTAACTGGTGCGGTAGCTGATGCAGTACAACAGCATCTAGTTGAAAACAATCTCTTTGCACTTGAGCAGAAAGGAAACCGCCCCAATAGCAGAGGAACAAAAGATCAACTCCTAATAGACAAAATGATCTTGGAAAACTGCAAGAAAAGGAAGACCAACCTGAATGTGGCATGGATTGACTACAAAAAGGCATTTGACTCTCTGCCACATGACTGGATAATCAAGTGCCTAGAAATAACAGGAGTCAGTAGAAACATCAGAAAATTTGTGCAAAGATCGATGGCACAATGGAAGACAGTTGCAGATCAATGGTGAGAGGCTGGGAGAGGTTAATATCAAGAGAGGAATATTTCAAGGAGATTCATTATCACCATTACTATTTGTTATTGCACTGTTTCCTCTGTCAACAATACTGAATAACTCAGGACATGGCTATCAAACATCAAAAACATCTACCAGACTATCCCATCTCCTTTACATGGATGATCTGAAGCTGTATGGAAAAACATCATCTGAAATAGAATCGCTGCTCAACACTGTCTGTATATATAGCCAAGATATTGTTATGGAGTTTGGCTTGGACAAATATGCCACACTTACTATCAAACAAGAAAAAGTAGTGAAAACTGAAGGAATCAAGATGCCCCACGAAAATAACATTAAGAGTCTGGATGAGGAAGATTAATATAAATACTTGGATATCCTTCAAGCTGACAACGTCAAGCACACTGAAGTCAAGAAAAAGATTAGAGGTGAATACATCAAGAGAGTGAAGAAGATCTTAAAGTCCAAACTTAAAGGAGGAAATACCATAAAGGCAATCAACACCTGGGCAATTCCAGTCATTAGGTGCACCGCTGGAATAGTGGACTGGGCTCAAGCAGAACTAAAAGCAATGGATAGGAGGCCAGAAAAATAATGACAATGAATCATGCCCTTTATCCACGCAGTGACATTGACAGACTTTATCTACCAAGGCAAATAGGTGGGCGTGGAATACTACAAGTACATCAGATGGTTGAAGAAGAAAAAATGGCTTTGGAAGAATATCTGAAGAACAATGATGAAGATGCACTGAAATTAGTATATCGGGAAGGCTTACTGACTACTGGAGAGACCAAACTGGCCTACAAGAAAGACCAAATGAAGAACAGAATAGAGGCATGGGAAGACAAAGCACTACATGGCCAATACATTAAAAAAATAGCTGGGAAAGCAGATAATAATAAAACCTGGCAATGGCTAAGAGCAGGAAAATTGAAGAAAGAGACCGAGGGACTAATTCTGGCTGCACAAGACCAAGCCTTAAGGACAAATGCATATAAAGTCAAAATTGAGAAAACAGCAACAGACAGCAAGTGCCGCCTATGCAAAGAAGCTGAAGAAACAGTGGACCACCTGGTAAACTGTTGCAAGAAGATTGCACAGACTGACTACAAGCAGCGGCATGACAAAGTAGCAACAATGGTGCATTGGAAGATCTGCAAAAAATATCATTTGCCTGTAAGCAAAAACTGGTGGGATCATAAAATAGAGAAAGTCATAGAAAATGATAAAATTAAACTGCTCTGGGACTTCAGAATTCAAACAGACAAGCACCTGCAACATAACACCCCAGACTTAACAATTGTCGATAAGAAAGACAAAAAAGTCTGGATAGTGGACGTGGCAGTGCCTGGAGATAGCAGAATAGAAGAGAAAGAACTGGAGAAGATAACAAAATACAAAGACCTACAAATAGAAATAGAAAGACTGTGGCAAAAGCAAGCAAGGGTAGTACCAATAGTCATAGGCGCCTTGGGTGCAATCCCAAAACAACTGGAGCACTACTTGAACACCATTGGGATTGACAAATTCGCTATTAGTCAATTGCAAAAGGCAGCCTTACTAGGAACTGCTTCCATCCTGCGACGATATCTGTAATACCACCAAACATCCACATCTGCCTATCCCAAGTCCTGGGTAAGGACTCGATAGGTAGACAAAATGCCAAATCCAGTCTGAACATCTGGCTGACTGTGCGATGATCAATAATAATAATAATAATTGGAAGGGACATATCCTGCTGCTCAAAGAACTGGATTCCATTGTACTAGCTTTTGCAAAGCCACAAATCAACATAATTTGAGAAAATTATCTTTTAAGTATTTGGCTTAATCCTTTAATTCTTCTACATTTCTCCTTGATAATATCATTTCTTTTGTCTTCATCTCTTCCCATCTTCCTCTCCCACACTCAACATTCAACCTTCTCAAGATCAGTGATCTTCTCTTAGGTTACTCAGAAAAGAATCTTGTCCATCAAACAAATGGACACAAACTAATTAAAAACAAGCGTGGATTCTGTATACAGTCTGTTCCCCAACCATCTCTCATTTCAGCTTATATAAATATGGCCTTTCTCACCCTGATGCCTTCAAATGTACATTTCCCAGAACCCCCAGTTGGGGCACTGAGGCTTTCACAGGATGCCATGGACTGGCTCCAACCACTTGCAAAATTGCACAGGAAGTTTGTCAGAAGAACGGGGAGGCAACTGTGAATCCCACACAAATTTTTGTTATAAACCTTGATGTGCTGGAGCCAGCTTATATCAGCTCAGAAGAGCCAATTGTTAACTTTTCTGGAATTTTGCAAATCAGTTTAGAACAGAGCTGAGCTGCAATGCCTAACAAGTCAATCAGCTATTTGGTGGCTAGCAGTGAGCTGTGGCCATGGAGCTGAGTTGGTTGCTATTCATTTATCAACATGCCACTGGTTGTAAACCATTCAGAGACATCAAGGAAAAAGACAGAGAAGTAAAACTTTGGATCTTAGTGTCTCCTGAAATGAGCTGGGTTCACAAAACCTGATTGACCTGGATATTGAAAGGCCAAGCACAATGTGTGAATCAGAACCCTAATTTTCACAGCAGAGTCAAGAACCTGGTTAGTTTTGAGTCACTTATCCGAGATAATTTATGTAAGGCAAACTCAGAAGAGAAGGCCTAAACACTTTCCTTCAGTCCCTTGCACAGCAGCCCTGCACAAGAGGCGGTCATTCTCTTGTCACTCTGTTACTCTATCCTTCGAAATGCATCCCTTCTGTTCCAAGTACCAGCTGTAAAAAGGCATCTCCAACCCAGTGGTGGGATTCAAATATGTGAACAATCGGTTCTCTGTGTGGATGCCGCTTCTGGAAGTCCATTTTGGGCTTGGGCAACAAAAAATTAGCTACCGGTTCTGCCAAAGTGGTGCGAACCGGCTGAATCCCAACACTGCTCCAACCCCATCAAAGTCATTTATATTATCATTCTCCTAGTGCTGCAAAAAAAAAAAAAATGACAACAGCTAGCATACTGCACAACAAAGTCTGGGCCAGTAGCCAAGAAGGCAGGAGCCTTCATCACTGTGGCAGCTTCAGATTACTTTGAATGCTGCTGCATCAGTCGATAAGTCATTTATACAGGAGGAGGGGCAGGCTGTGTCAGTTGCGTCATCTGAATCCAGCAAATCAGTGGAAGACTGCTGAATCCAAAGAAACCCAAAAGAGCACAGCTGATCTCCAGGACACAAAAGCTGTGATTTATTGCAGCCATTCTCAAGCTGAGAGAGCAGCAGCTGTCAGGAGACCCCTGACAGGATTGATCTGTCCCTATTCAGCAGTCGCAGAGAGCTCCTTAACCCTCCAGTTTTGAGTGTTTGATACCAATTCCCATCAGCTCCAGGAACACTGCAAGAAAATATTGTTGCTCAACATGGCTGGGGGGTGGGGTGGGTGGGTTTCTCTAAGCTGTTTGAGTCTCAAGTCCACTTTTTAGTCTGAGCAACTTAGCAACAGGAAATTCAGTTTCCAATTATATTCCAGGTATTTATATACCAGCACGCCTATTAGTCTGCTTAGTGCCTGCTTTACCATTACCCTTTCTGGAAACAATTTGCATACTAACTGAAATGAAGCAATATTTGCTCATACATTATGCGGTATATTATATCAGATTGGAGATAGTTTCCCTCTACAAGTCAGTTCATGATCCTTCTAGTACTCTAAGTCAAAGCCAGATGCTTGTACCTATGCAGAAAATGTTGTCTCTCTGAATTCCATACAATCTCCAGATAGAAATGCTGCTGGCCTTGTATATGAAGGAGAGGCTGGAGATAAAGCAACTAATGGGGTCCTTACTAAGACCAGGATGAAACAAAGATGCATTTACGGTTGTGGTGGTTGAAGGGACCATCTACCTGCAGCTGCTTTTTCCACAAAGTGCAGTTCCTGCCAGAAGGTGCTCAACTCAGGATATTTCTCCTTCACCATCATGGCAATGAAATGTAGAAGAGTCAGCTTCCGGTCAGTTGACTTAGTGTCCAACAGCTTTCAGGACAGAAACAAGGAAGAACAGAAGATCAAGACATCAGCATCAGTGTGTGCAAACATTAGACTGGCAGGGAGTCTACATGCATGTGAATACAGACAATCCCATCTGTTCAGTTACACGTATGGACATTGACATGGAATGCCCTGGGGGAACTGCATTCACTCATTAGAAGTCACAGGCATGGGTAGTGTGAAAAGGTGCCCAGTGCTGTACATTGTGACAGCACATTAATTACTAATTTCCTTCTTCTTAGGGTATCTCTAACAAATCCAGCTGGCTACTTTTTTTTACAGACACATGGATCATACTGTATGACCCTTTTCCATGCTTCTTCCCTTACCAAGTCCAGACTCTGCAGCTTGAACCCGTAAACTGAGCCACGCTTGCTGCTGTTCATGTAGTTGCCAAGGGCCAAAATGATCTGTGGGGAGAGAAGAAGAGCAGTTGACCCAAGGTACAAGACAAAATTCTAGCCAATGAAGCCCAGGGCACAGGGTGAATCTTCTCTGCCTCTGCAGAAACCACATTCCAACTTAAGAGCCTACAGCTCCTGAACTAGCTGAAAGCAAACCTTTCTTTGTTGCTATAGAAATGGCTAGTACATGTTAAGTATGTAAAAATAAAGAGGCTGTAATTTTATTATGATATTCCAATGTGCTAAAAAGAGTCAGAAGTCCATGCTTTTCTTTTTTTATTTTCCCCTTTCCCCTACACTTTTTGCTTGACCCCTTCCCCTCCCCCCACTTCCCACTATTTTCATTTGTATTTTATACTTTGATACGTTTGATGAAATTGCAATCTTAAAAAAGGAAAGTAAGCCTTTCACAGGCTCAGAGGCTCTCTTCATTTGCTTCATCCGGGTTGAACTTTGGCTGTTATGGTCATATTGTCACAGCAAGAATATACAGTATTTGCAGCGTTGACATCGGCATTCAGAAATATATATGAGAAGTAAATAGTGGTGATGGTGCTACAACTCTCCGTTCTTAACTTACACTAATGCCAGCTGACTGACCTACCTCTAGCATTCGCTTGAGCTTCTGTGACGATTTGACAGATGCTGAGGCAGCGATAATGGCACTGAGTTGCTATAAGAGGGAAAAGCCAAAAGAGCACAAAAGTATTATTCTTTATTTAGCACCTGAATACTTCTTGTATTCTGCAGAGGAGCAAAGTCCTTAGGAAGAGACAGCGCTTTGAGCATGATTTAACCATCTGGTTTTAATTATTTTGAATGCTTCCCTTAGGAAAGGTCAATACAACTATTAAGAAGGAAGAATAATGAACCCTGTAAGCATTATTAGCATAGAGGAGAAAAGTTGATCATTTGGGAACACAGAATCCATACCAGAGTGGAACAAGATCTCTGAGTGCATCAAGAAAACATAAAGACTGAGTGAGTAGTATCAGTGGAACACCTACCCGGTGCAGATGCTTTCTTCATCCCTAACAACTATTCTGTTTGAGCTCAAGGATAACGATTTTTCTCAGCCTTTCCTAAATCTGAAGTTGCACCTGAGGCAATAAAAAAAATGTAATCTACTCTAGGGCTATATCTGCTTGTTTGCATCCCCCCATTTTGCCAGGCAGCCCAGCTAGTAAAGTACAGATTTTTCAAAAGGACAGTATAATTGTTATTCTATGAAATTCTACATTATAAGTATGTCATGATGTCATTATAGACACACAACTGGCTTCTTGGAGCAGAAGAAATAGAAAGATCAACATCGAGCACATCCTTTCCCATCCCATACGCACAATGACTTATAAAAGAGTCCCCCTCAAACGTAGTACCACTTAAGGCCATATCGCTGCAATTGCACCAACTCCAAAAATAACTTGTGTTACCGGCATGAGCATCTGGATGTTTTCGCTGAAGTTGCCCAGGAAAGCCATAATAGCCATGCGCTGGGTCAAACGCTCCACTTTGCTGAAATGCAGCATGAAGCGGTCCTCATCTGACAATTCCTCCACTGGCTTCCTCTCCTTCTCATACTGGCGCAGTAGCTTGACCTCATTCTCGGTTGGCAGAAAGCGCATGAGGCACTCCACAAAGTCCACTGGTAAGGTCTTCAGGTCAAACCTAAAAGAGGCCCCAGTGAAGAAAGATCCTCTATCAGAGATGGAACATCTGGCTACTGATGGGCAAAGGATGCAAGGGGAGATACTCTCTTTTCATTCAGTGATCCTCTCACCTAGGAATGAGCAACTTTGACCCACACAGGGCTTGTAGCCTAACTCCATGTGACCAGAAACTTAAGCCCTAGTTAGGAAAGAGTGATCTGCCTTTACCTTGACAGCCAGCTGTGTGAGGAAGAAGAGAGGAAAGTAGTTGATAAGTAAAAAAGAGTGTTTCAGAAAGAGAAAAGCACCCCACCTGCAATTTGCTTTGGGATCACCTGCTCTATCTCCTGCTTGACCTATTATTTGCATATCTCATGCCCCCCTCCTGATTATGCCTGCAGAAATACAATCCCAGGCAGAGAAAAAGGCTGCCTGCACAAGAAGGAAAATCACAGGATGGGGAAAGGCATACAGAGGGGGACTCACGTGTAGATGGCTTTGCAGATCTCCTCTGTGGTCCTGCCTGCCTTACGCAACGTGATGGCCAGGTTCTTCGCCCGGTTGGCTTCCAGCAGAGTCACTTTGTTGACTGCTTTGTGTGAAGCCTTGTTTTTAGAGCAAAGGAGATCGATGGCAGGGCCCTGAGCCTTGGTCTTAAAGAGCTCCTCAAACTTGTCCAGATCAAGATCCTTGGGGAAAAAAGGAAAGAGTAAATTATCTTGTCCACTTGGGGGTAGTAATTAAAACTGCTAACAGCTTGGTTTTTACTTCTTGGTGTTTTGCTATTCTGGGCGCATGCTGCGTATTAAAACCATACAGTACAGGTAGTCCTCAACTTAAAACAGTTCGCTTAGTGACCATTCAAAGTTACAATGGCGCTGAAAAAAGTGACTTATGACCATTTTTTGCACTTATGACCATTGCAGCATCCCCCATGGTCACGTGATTTACATGTGGACGCTTGACAGCTGACTCACATTTATGACAATTGCAGTGTGCCAGGGTCATGTGATCACCTTTTGCAACATTTTGACAAGCAGAGTCAATGGGGAAGCCAGATTCAGGCTCAACAAATACTTTTTGGCTATTTTCAATTTTCCTCCCTCCCTCCCTCCCTCCCTCATATCACAAAAGAGACTCTAGGCAACTTACAGCAATAAAAGTAATTATTTTCTGTCTTTCCATGTTCTTATTCTTGTTCTATACTTCATATGCGTTATCTTCCCAATTCTACTTCTAATTCTACTACCAGTCAAACTGACTTTTCCTTCTCTCACTCAAACTGAAGAGCAGACTATTTTTTTTTAAATCAGAGCTTCAGTTCCATGACACCATTAACAGACAACAAAAACAACAGGATGTGAGCTAAGAAAGAAAATCAATTTTCAAATCTATGTACTTAAAATCTCAACTCATGCCAGCATTCACTTCTCTGTTTCCCTCACCTCCAAGATCTTTTCATCATCCAGTTCACTGAAGACCGTCCCACTGATCTGGTTGGGCTTCAATGCTGTCCAGTTAAAAACTGGCAAGCGGAACTTGGTCTTGATGGGCTTTTTGATCCGGATTGCTTGGTGCAGAACAGAGAGAGCAAGGCATTATAGATCATGTAGAAAATAGAAAGTACTCCTCAACCTATTCCCAATAAGTCAGTTGGAGAAAGAAGTTTTAATTTTGGCAATTTTCTGTTGAGTTTTGGTTCATTTTTTAGTTTCCCTTATATCAGAGGTAGGCAACCTCGGCTCTTTTATGACTCGTGGACTTCAACTCCCAGAATTCCTGAGCCAGCCATGCTGAGGGGAAAGGGAGAGGTTTCCAAGATGAGCCATGCCGGGTGAGGAATTCTGGGAGTTGAAGTCCACGAGTCACAAAGAGGCAAGATTGCCTACCCCTGCCTTATACCATAGTTTCTGAAGAATGGTATCTATGGGATTTGGACATGTCACCAAATCTTTGCCCTGAACTGTATGCAAGCACTGAGGGAATTCATTCATTGATCTGTAATAGGCATTCCATATGTGCAACACAACACTCGAGACAACTCCAATAGGCAGCGGAGAATTACAGTGTACCACTGTCATTTATTTTTACAGCCCAGACATGATATGCCTGATTTGTATTTCAAAAGAAACAGATGAATTTTCCTTTGGCTTATTTCCAAAGAAACAGGTTTAAGGCTGTATATCTGAAGCCAGAACCAAAATTAAACTATCTATTTTTAATGGGAACAAATTATTTTAGTTTCTGCCGTTCTTGCCCAATAAAATATGTCACTTTCCCAAGGACATTCAAACTATTAAAAATTCAAGGTTACAACAATGAAATGGGATGCCAAGAAAAATCATCCATACAAATGACATCAATTGCATTTTGGGGGAAGCATACATTTTTCTCAGTTATATTGCATAATTTACTCTGCAAAAGTTTCTAGTTGCTTGATTCAATTTTATCAATTGGTTTTTTTTTTTTTTTGCTTTCTGACATTTTTCTCAGACTTTCCAGTCTAAATTTATACCCATAAGAGCTAGAAACATGTGTTTTTAAGTGGAAACTACATTATTACTTACATTATTTATCTTCAAACCCTGCCCCAGTCAACTAGCATCAAGTATACAGCAACCCCCATGCTGTCTTACTGTTCTGGTCTATTTGGGGGAATAGGGGTTGAGCCAGTGATGGCGCAGTAGTTAGAATGCAGTATTGCAGGTAAACTCTGCCGACTGCCAGGTTGACTGAGCCTTCCACCCTTCCGAGATGGGTAAAATGAGGACCCAGTTTCTTGGAGGGCACGCTGTAAACCCCTTAGCCTCCCCCCCTTTAGGGCTATAAAGCACTATAAAGTAGTATATAAATCTAAGTGCTTCGCTATCTACCTGATAAGCCCATTGTGAGGATCATCGAAGGAGACATGCCAGGAAGCGGTGGAGCTGGTGGACACTTATCTACGAGAGAAGAAACAATAGATAAATAAATAAAACAAGGCACCCTCCTCATGGCAAGATGTTGGCTTGTTAGCTCCAGAACAAAGCCTACCTGGTAGTGGTGGAGGGGGTGGGGGAAGAGGTGGCGGAGGAGGTGGCGGAGGAGGGGCAGCCTCCACAGGAGGCAGGACAGGCAGGCAGAATTCATCCTCAGAGATGTCGTTGAAATTGATCTCTGCCTCTGGAGGTGGTGGCAGCGGCAAGTGGTCACTCCCCATTGGATGTGAGGTATAGTGATGTCGGAAGGCTTCTTCCTTTTCCTTGATAATTCTGCGCAATGTATGAACTTGGTGGCTGGCACTCTCGTAGGTCTCCTGTTCCAGACAGAGAGATACAGTAGAGGCTTTCTTATGTCTAAAAACCATTTCCCGTTTATCATCTCAGGGAATCCTTTTTTAAAAAAAAAACCCACAATTTTATTTTATTAATTTTATCAAAATATAAAATACAAGGGAAAAAAGTGTAGAAAACTAAAAGAAGAGGGAGAGGGGAAAAAGGGGGACAAGGGGGGACATGATAACACTGTTCCAATATCTCAGGGGTTGCCACAAAGAAGAGGGAGTCAAACTATTCTCCAAAGCGCCTGAAGGCAAGACAAGAAGCAATGGATGGAAACTAATCAAGGAGAGAAACAACTTAGAACTAAGGAGAAACTTCCTGACAATTAGAACAATCAACCAGTAGAACAACCTGCCTCCAGAAGCGGCGAATGTTCCAACACTGGAAGTTTTTAAGAAGAGACTGGATGGCCATTTGTCTGAAATGGTGTAGGGTTTCCTGCCTGAGCAGGGGGTTGGACTAGATGACGTCCAAGGTCCCTTCCAACTTTATTATTATTATTAAAAGAAAAAAGAAAAAGGCACTGACTACCGACTTTCTTTAGCACAATAAAAGGTAACAACATTACAACCACAACTTTTCTGCTTTTACACAATAGGTATACAAAGCCATTTCTATAACAATAAGCCTATCTAGTTCACAAAAACAGAATCAAAGTTTCTTTTTTTTTCCCTCATTGCAAGCACAAAATCCGGAAGCAATTTCAAAACAGAGATAAGATTAAGTATATTTTTTTCTTTGGGTAAAGGAATCAATTTAACCATCTCTGCTTCTCTTTGCTATGGGGAATATCTTTTTTTCTTTTAACTGTAAAGGAAAAAGATACCTTTTTTTTTAGTTTTAGTAATTTACTAATTTTTGGAAGTACTCAGGTATTATATATAAAGGAGAAGAGAGAAAACCCTTCATTTTATAACCAAAACCCAAATTTATGGTTAAGATTAGGGTTTGGTTTATCATTTCAGGGAATCCTAATCCCAAAGGACCAATCACATCAGATCTTCCCCAATTCAGGGACCTCCAGGTGAATTGGAGGTTTCAGTGTTGCAATCCAACCCAGCTGGCAGATACAGACTGGGAAAGGTCACAAGGGTCATTATATGCTGAACTGTGGAATCACAAATATTTCCAACCATACACTTCTGAGAATAAAGAATGAGTTACATAATTTAATTTCTTTCATAGGAAGAAAATATCTGTCTACGTGGAAAACAATGGGTGGGGAAATAAATTGTCAATACAAACCACACATTAGTTTAGCAGATGTGGGATGCCTATCCAGCTCAAGAGAAGAATGGAAATACGTTAACTCTTGCCCTACTGCAGTTTGAAATAGTGTGGTCCAGGAAAACATTGCCATTTGGTTCTGCTCATTGCCTGTATTGGGCAAATCAAGTTAGGATGCTAGAGGATGCATTTTATCATGGTATATTTTAGGGGGAAAAATAGCTCACAAAGATAGGAATTGTGCTTCATCTCTGTGACACAGAATAGCCTTGAAGAAACAAATTCTTTTAAACCAGAAGAGTTCTTACTCGCAGGAAACCTTTCCATGTTGATTGCCAGGCAAGGAATTCTGCGGATTTCAGATTTTCAAATATGGTTCAGAAGTTCTGCATGCCTTGAACCTGTCAGATGTCCCAAAGGTGCTTTTTCGAAAAGACTTTTGTTGGTCCAGAACTGAAGAAGCTTATTGGATGAGAAGTTAAATGTTTCCAAAGGAAAAAACCAACAAAAGGGCAGTTGCCTTTTGAAAAAAATACCTTTGGAACAACCATGACCTTGAGAATCTCCATAGATATTTGACCTGTTGGATGAAATTGTCACCCCATGAGAACACCCATGAAAACTGATGCTTCCATTGATGCATGTTGTTCTCCTTTTTAGCCAGAAAGATCCACGGCAATAAGCAAGTTATCTTTGCCCACAGTATCTTATCAGTGACCAGCTTCCAGGAAAGTCTAAATGAAACCATCACTTTAAATCAAAGTCACACCTCCATGCTCTGGGAAGCATCTTCAATTCCCTTTCTTTGATCCACGTACCTTGACAATCTCCAATTCCTTTTCCCGCTGTAATAGTTGTTTCTCCAACTCAGCCACCCGCATGATGTTCTCATTCTCCAGATCCAGCAGCTTTTCTGTCAACTGAGTAACACAGAACAGGAATCACCAATTGGTCTTTCCTTTGAGTCATGACACCTCTGCTTTTATTATTTGATAACTATACATTCAATAACACAATTTGTGAGGCCAACTCTCATAAATGAGGTAGTGAAACTGTCAAAAGGGATTTTCTTTCGCAAAAAGCAAGCAATTGGTATTTTTAAAATAGTTAAAAACAAGTTTTAGCTTACCTGTATCTTCCTTTTGCATGGCCAGTCAGGAGATTTTAGACCTCAGACAATTTTATGGGACCTTCTATATTGAATGCACAAACTTCCTAATATAATTCCTGGCATCTCCAGGCAGGGCTAGAAAAATCTCTGTCTCACCTACAGGTAGTCTCGGCTTAGGACCACAATTGAGCCCAAAATTTCTGTTGCTCGGACAGACATTTGTTAAGTGAATTTTGCCCCATTTTACGACCTTTCTTGCCACAGTTGTTAAGTGAATCACTGCAGTTGTTACGTTAGTAACACAGCTGTTAAGTGAATCTGGCTTCCCTGTTGACTTTGCTTGTCAGAAGTTTGCAAAAGGTGTGGACATTACTCCCAAGACACTGCAACCGTCATAAATATGAGTCAGTTGTCAAGCATCTGAATTTTGATCATGTGACCATGGGGATGTTGCAATGCTCGTAAGTATGAAAAACGGTCATAAGTCACTTTTTTCAGTGATGCAACTTCGAACAGTCACTAAATAATAATAAGTCGAGGACTACATGTACTTGAGTTAAGGTACACAATAGGTGGATCAGCTATTGAACACTTTACAATGAAAATCTCTATATTCTAAAAACTGGGTGACTTTGTTACTAACTTAAAAGAGGACAGATAAATGTTTTTGCAACTGAATGGAGCTTCCTTATTCGATGACTTATTCTCCTTTACATTAAGAGTAAATAGTAAGAAAGGGGAAGGGCATTTTTTTAAAAAAATAGTCTGTGTAGTTCCCGTAGGCAAAATGGATTACAGGATTAGCTGCCCAACCAATAAGGCTTTTCCATGCTAAAGAAAAGGCTGTGCACTTACATGCGATAAGTGCTCTTCCAATTCTTCTACTTTCTCCAAAGCCACATTCTTGGTCTCAGCATCTTCTAGCAATCCACCTACATCAAACACATTGTCCAGGTAGGCCTGAATTTGTACTAGCAGCTTTTCACTTTCTGTGTGTCTTGACTTCTGTTGGAGAGAATGAAACGGTCTTAAAGGCCAGAGGCTCCTAGTGTTCTCCTGGATACCACCAGGTCCCCAGCAAGGCCAAAATAGAGCCCCTCTGAGCTACTCATGACTTCCTCAAAGATTTATCCCATAGACATGTTCTATCTCATCAGTCCAAGAGGCCCAAACTACAGGTAATGAAATTACTGTACAAAAATAAACCACTAAAGTATTCCATGATAAATATCTGTGGAAAAAAATAGAAAAATGTATGTTACTTTATCATGATTTCCTCTCACTCCCATCTTCATGCCTACAGAATTCTGAATCTGATTATTTGGTGAGATGATGGGTGTTTTGTTAGTAGTCTTTAAACCCCATCAGAGAACTATAATTTGCAGGGATTTCTGGAAAGAAGGTTTAATTATTAATCAGCTTTATTTCTATGATATAGACATGCTTTTGAATTATGGAGAATTAGGGAGAATTAGAATTATGGAGAACATAACTTATTTGAAATTGGCAGACGCATCCTTGGGTCTAGACTTTAACTTTCATAGTGACACCTGGTATGGAATGGCCCCTTGTCCTAGGACTGACGTGGCTGAAAAGATGAAACCCACGGGTAGACTGGCGAGAACGGAGCTTGAAATTCCCAAAGGAACAGAAAAGCCTAAAAGCCACAAGAGCAAAAAGGGGAAAACTTACCGAGAACTGGCGGCAGGCGCAAAAAGCAAGGGACTGAAAGACATACCCAGAGACTACCACAGTTCAGTGAGAGGGGCTCAGATGAACTTCCCCCACACCGGCCCACAGACTGTGCTACTAAGATTGTCCCTGGAGCCAAGCTCCCTAAGCCCAAGATATACTCTATGACTCCTAGGGAGCTAGACAAACTGCGGCAGTTTGTACATAAAAACCTAGCCTGGGGCTTCGTACAGCCAGCAAGGGTCCCGGTGGCAGCCCTGATGCTGTTCCAGGAAAAGAAAGGTGGGTCTCTTCGTCTCTGTGTGGACTATAGAGGTCTTAATGCTGTGTGTATGGAAAATCTGTACCCCTTGCCCCTCATGAAGGACATGCTGGCTCACCTTTACAGAGGGAAAATGTTTTTAAACTGGACTTACGGGAGGCATATTACCGAGTCAGGATCAAGGAGGGAGATGAGTGGAAGATGACTTTTAACTGCCCCCTATGTTATTTTCAATTTAAAGTGCTCCTTTGGGTTATAGGGAGCCCCTGCAGTGTTTATGCAACTGATAAATGAGGTGCTACATATACAAAGGAATTTGGTGTAACTGGACGATATCTTAATCTACATTTGAAATGAAAGCTGAGCATGTGAAATTGGTCAAGGCAGTCTTAAAGAAACTCTGCACGGCTAAGCTGTATGCTAAGCTCTCAAAGTGCGAATTTCACAAAGAAAAAAATGACTATTTAGGCTACCGGCTCTTACACAAAGGGGTAGAAATGGATACCGAAAAGATGAGTGCCATTTTAAAATGGGACACACAACGCACAAGGGAGCAGCTGCACAGCTTCCTGGGTTTCGCCAACTTCTATAGATAGTTCATCCCCTCGTTCGCACAAATTGCCCTGCCCATCACAATTTGCTGAAAACCAAAGGGGCGAAACCCAGCCAGCTGCATTTGAAAAGTTAAAAAGACTTTTTTCCATTGAGCTGGTACTGAGACACCTAGACCCAGGGAGATCATTTGACATCCAGGACAATGCTAGCGATGTGGCCATGGGTGCAGTACTGCTCCAAGAGAAAGAAAAGGGGTAGCTACAGCCCTGTGCTTATACCTCTAAAAAATTAACTGAGACAAAACAACACTGGGCAGTATGGGAGAAGGAGGATTATGCTGTAAGATGTGCTCTCCTCACATGGAGGCATTTTTTAGAAGGGAGTAACTGACCACAAAAACCTAGAAGCGCTGAAGACCCCGAGGAAGCGGTCCCCTAAACATGTACGGTGGGCCCAACACTTCCAGCGCTTCAATTTTACCCTCCGCTATTTGCCTGGAGGAAAGAATTTTTTGGCAGATACCTTGTTGAGACTGCCACAGTACAACAGCGTAAAGACAGAAGTAATTAAGGCTATACTCCCAGCACCACAGCTAGTGGCACCAGTAATCACGAGAACACAGTCAAAAAGAGCCCCGTCCTTAGACATCATGGTCAACTCGGAGTTTAAATCAGTCTTAGAGAAAGATGATTAAACATTGTCAAATTTTAATACCACTTGAGATTTATGTTGTGATGGGATAAAATGTTACCTGTAAGAACTCTTCCAAACCCAGCTTGGTGAACTCATATTGTAAGTGCACTCGGAAGTTCATGTCCTCTACTGAATGGACCACAATGTTGATGAATTGCATACAGGCTACCTATAAAAGAGAGAACAGGCAGCTGGAATTGGGATGCACAGATTCAGTTATTTACTCCCCCTTGGATTCTAGACCTCTTTTTTGAAAAGAAAAAAAAACAGAGAACTGATTTTTTAAAATGCAACACATGCTATATAATTTCCAGATAGCCAAGTCCCACCATCCTTCCATGCACAGATTCCCTTCCTCCATGCAGAGAACCATGGATTAATCTTTTGCTGGAGAAGGAGAAGGGGGAAGAGGAAGTTTCAGATTTCATTTACTGAGACCATCTAATCCATATTCTTTAGAGATTCCTTAGAGCAGAGTTCCCCAACTTTTTGGAGTTGGTGGCCCAGAGTGGGGGGAGAGGGGAAAGAAGGGATGATTTTGTGGGGGAGTGAACGCATGCACAGGTGTGTGTGTGCATGAACACCTGTTGCTCGCTTGAGTGAGGCCATGAATGCCCGCGACGCTTGCGGAGATGCTCGTGCAAATGAGGCAGTGAGCCTGCATGCACAGGTGCGCACGGGCCAACTACTCACATGGCCTGGTGGCCCATACACCATGGTAATGGCCCTGGCCCACAGGTTGGGGACCCCTGCCTTAGAGTAAATTCTTCCTTGGGTTGATAAAGACTCCCTACTCCTACATTTTCAATGATAAATTTATCTGTCTAGGATTTTACATAGAAACTTTTCCCAATCTTGCCTAAGATGATCGATGACTTTCTGAATCCAAGCATATGCTCCATCACTGACTTATGGTCTCTTGCATGGGTGAATCCATGATAGCATAATTGGGGACAGCAGAAATCCTACATTATCCATGGAATAGTTAGTCCTCAATTTACAACTGCAGTAGGGATTGGAAAATTTATCATTAAGGTGTGTGGTCATAAGTGAGACATCATGTGACCACAACTTGCAAGTTTCCCTGCCACCGTCCCCATTGACTTTGCTTGGTCACACATGGTGATCATGTGTCTGAAGGATATTGCAACCATTATAAATGCATGATGGCTGTCAGAATCATGATCATATGAGTGGAAATACTGCAACATTGTGAGACGACCAGTTGTAAGTCACTTTTGCAGGGGCATTAAAATTTTGAACAGTCGCTAAATGAATGGTTCTAAGTTGAGTGCAATTGATCATCAAGACAGATAACATACATCCAATGTGTCACTTTGTTTCCTCCCAGCATTGGGCTAAATGCGCTGCTGGCATACACAATTTCAAAGCAAATGCATTCTTGCATTTTTTTTAAACTACTTACCATGAAGTCAATATTGCTATCCTCATTACGGAAATATTCCATCAGTTTCTCAAAGCGATGCTGCTCTTTGCATACCTAAGAAAAGAGAGCACATCCGGATCATAAACATGTTGCAGTCCTAATCAGCCTGCCAAATACAGATCATTCCACTGATGCTGACACATTTACATAAGTGCTCCACATAGCTGCGCAGTGGTTACTTTCATGTACATTCCCAGAGTAATTTCTTTCTTTGGTCACATACCCAGAGAAAGAGAGTTTTGTTATCAGTAGATGGTACAAGAGGGCAAATACTGTGTTTGAATTATCCCCACAGAAACACAGGTATGCTCCTTGTCTTTTGAGTCACACCTTGAGGCCCTACTGGTTTTTCTTTAATCATTTCAGGCTCTGTTCATTTTACACTTTTCTTTATTAGATCAAGCTTTGACAGGACTGGCAGCCAACTGGAACATCTAATGAACACGTGATCCACGTATATTCCTTCAGGAGCCACTCAAACAAAACACAACAAGAAAGAGAAGATGTTTTCAGAAAGATGTCAGGCTCTTTGAGAAGTTACTGATGAAAATATCCTGCAACTAAGAGTAATTTACTTCAATTTCTGAAAATGAGACACCTAAAATAATTATCCAGAGAAGAGCTTGACTACAAGTGAGTAGCAGCAGGTGCATAAGTATATAAACAAATAAGGTGGCATGCAGGCCTGATCAAATCATGGCTTCAGCTTTGCATAACTACCTATCTCTGTTCAAAGACTCAACGCAACACCAAAAGATAGGGTAGACTGCATTGATCAAAAACTTTGTCCAAAGTAATATTAGATAGTTGTGTAGATTTGACTTGTGTTCTCACTTGAAAAAAAAATTGATGGTCACTATACGCATAGAGTATGAGCAATAAACAGGGTGAATTAGAAATTCAGGTAAATGAGGGCAGATATGGTATTGTTGCCATTACACAAACTTGGTAGGAGGGATTTAAATTATTTAAAAGAAACAGACCAAATAAAAGAGGAGATGGAGTTGTTTTCTATGTAAGAAATAACTACATCTCTACAGAAATAGAGCACAACAATGATGAAAACTGTCTTGAATGCATTTGGGTCAATATAAAAGGGGGGCAAATGACATTGCCATAGGTGTATATTATAAGCCACCCAACTAAACAGAGGAAATAAATAAACTTTTTGCTAGTCAGTTAACTAAGGTATGTAGGAAGCACATCACAATAGTAATGGGGGACTTTATTACCCTGACATCAACTGGGAGATAAACTCTACACCAGGTGGAAGATCAAACAGATTCCTGACAAACCTAGCAGACAACTTTGTCTCCCAAAAAGTAGAGAAGGGAACTAGGGGATTAGCCATATTGGACTTATTCTCACTAACAGAAATTAAATGATTGGAGTTGAAGCTACAGGAACCTTGTGGGGAGGGGGAGAGTGATCATGCAATATTGGAATTCAACATTATGGAAGCACAAGCAATAGAATATAGTCAAAATAGAGTCTTGGACTTTAAGAGAGCTAATTTCAATAAACTTAGAGAGAGCTTGGGAAGGATTCCATGGATGAGAATCATCATGGGGAAAACAATTCAAGAAGCTTAAGAAATTTTAAAAAGTGAGATTATAAAAGCCCAGCCTAGCACAATACCAACAAAGAAGAAAAATAGCAGCTCTCAAAAGAAACTAGCATGGCTGCATAAAGAACTCTCTGAGAAATTGAAAGACAAAATGCACAAGTATAAAAAGTGGAAAAGGGGGCACATAACCAAGGCAGAATATCAGCAAATAGTCTGAGCCTGCAGAGATGAAGTGAGGAAAGCTAAGGCTCAAAATGAACTAAGGCTTGTCACAAAAATCAAAAATAACAAAAAAGCTTCTTTCAACATGTAAGAAACAAGAAAAAAGTTAAGGAAATGATTGGTCCATTAGTGGGAGAAAGTGGCAAGAAGGTGACAAGCAACAGGGAGAAAGCAGAACTACTTAACTTGTTTTTTGCATCCATCTTTACACAAAGGGAAAAAACAGTCCAACCTATCAGAAACAATACCACAGAAAATAGATTTGAAACACAAGCTAAAATAGGCAAGAAAATGGTAAGTGAGCACCAGTCTACCCTAGATAAGTTCAAATCACCAGGACCAGATGGATTATACCCCAAGGTTCTGAAGGAACTGATAGATGTGATCTCAGAACCACTTTCAAAGATCCTGGAGCATTGGGGAACTACCAGAGGACTGGAAATGAGCTGATGTAATTTCTGTTTTCAAAAAAGGGGGAAAAATGGATCCAGGAAACTACGGACCTATCAGCCTGACCTCAATACCTGGGAAGATTCTGGAAAAGATAATCAAGCAACAAATCGGCAAACACCTAGAGGCAAACAAAGTCATAACCAAAAGCCAACATGGGTTTGTCAAAAATAGATCATGCCAGACAAATCTTATTGCATTCCTTGACCAGAGGACCAGAGGAATGCTGTATATAATTTACTTGGACTTCAGTAAGACATTTAATAAAGTAGACCACAATCTACTACTTGATAAGATAGAAAAATGTGGGTTAGACAGCATCACCACCAGATGGATTTGTAGCTGGCTGACCGGCCATACTCAGCATGTGATGCTCAATGGAACTGCATCTACAAGGAGGGAAGTGTGTAGTGAGGTGCCCCAGGGCTCTGTTTTGGGCCCAGTGCTCTTCATCATCTTCATCAATGATTTGGATGAGGGGACAGATGGAACTCATTAAATTTGCAGACAACACCAAGCTGGCAGGAATAGCCAATACTCCAGAAGATAGGCTCAAGATACAGAAGGATCTTGACAGACCTGAACACTGGGAGCTATCTAACAAAATGAAATTCAATGGTGAAAAAAGTAAGGTTCTACACTTAGGCAAGAAAAACCAAATGCACAGATATAGATGGTATCTTGCTCAATAGTAGTGAGAGGGATCTTGGAGTCCTAGTGGACAGTTACTTAAATATGACCTAGCTCTGTGCTGCAGCTGCCAAAAAAGCCAACACAATGCTAGGCTGCATTAACAGAGGGAAAGATTCAAGATCATGTGAAGTATTAATACCACTTTATAATGCCTTGGTAAGGCCAGACGTGGAATACTGCATTCAGTTTTGGTCAGCATGATGTAAAAAAGATGTTGAGACTCTAGAAAAAAATACAGAAAAGAGCAACAAAGATGATTAGAGAACTGGAGGCTAAAACATATAAAGAACGGTTGCTGGAATTGGGTTTGTCTAGTTTAATGAAGAGAAGGACGAGGGGTGATACGATAGCAGTGTTCCAATATCTCAGGGGCTGCCACAAAGAAGAGGGAGTCAAGCTATTTTCCAAAGTGCCTGAAGGCAGGACAAGAAGCAACGGGTGGAAACTAACAAAAGAGAGAAGCAACCTAGAACTAAGGAGAAACTTCCTGACAGTTAGAACAATTAACCAGTGGAACAACCTGCCTCCAGAAGCTGTGAATGTGCCAACACTGGAAGTTTTTAAGAAGAAACTGGACAGCCATTTGTCCAAAATGGTATAAGGTTTCCTGCCTGAGCTGGACTAGATGAATTCCAAAGTCCCTTCCAACATCATTATTATTATTATTATTATTAACTAATCAAGGAGAGAAGCAACCTAGAACTAAGGAGAAATTTCCTGACAGTTAGAACAATTAATCAGTGGAACAATCTGCCTCCAGAAGTTGTGAATGCTCCAACACTGGAAGTTTTTAAGAAGAGACTGGATAACCATTTGTTTGAAATAGTATAGGGTTTCCTGTCTGAACAGGAGTTGGACTAGAAGACCTCCAAGTCCCTTCCAACTCTATTATTATTGTTGTTATTATTATATCAGTTTTTCTCTATTTTCTTCCCTCCCCGTTTGTATCTGTCTCTGGGTGATGATCAAAGTCCTTCCATCTAACCATTGTTTCCATCTGCTTCCTTATTATTTGCATACCCTTCCTCAATCTGGTGATCCAGATACGTTGGGACTTCAAAACCTACAATCCCCTAGATCTTCAGAGTTTGATACCTATTCTTTTAAATAGATAATGAAAGCAATCTCACCTCCTTGAAGTTCTCAAAGGCAGCCAAAATGATCTCATGGCCACCTCGCACAAGACACACAGCTGCCAGCAATTCTAATACCAGGGCTTTTGTCCTAAGGAGAAAAAGAAAACACACAACTGATGGACAAGCAACTAGAAAAAAAATCATGGAAGCCACAATGGAGAAATGGCTGGTGAAGATGATGGAACTTGCAGAGATGACTAAAATAACCTGTTTGAATAGAGAAAAAAGAATATCCTTATTTATAGTTGATTGGAAACTCCTATCAGACTGTTTGCATAAAACAGAAAAAATGCAGTTATAATTGGTGGTTTTGATAGTTATAAAAAAACCATAATAGAAAAGAATGAGATTTCTTTTTCAAACAATGTAAGAGATAATTTTGTAATTGCACTTATATTTACTGCAAAGAAAACTGGAAGATCCTTCTGTTTCTTTTGATTCTTTCTACGCTTTTTCTTTTTTTCTTTCTTTCTTTATAGCTTTTACTCTTTATTGGTTTGTGTTAGTTTTTATGTTTTTTGTAAAACATTCAATAAAAATTTACAAAAAGAAGGAAGGAAGGAAGGAAGGAAGGAAGGAAGGAAGGAAGGAAGGAAGGAAGGAAAATTCATCTGGAAAGAGTAGTGTTGTTATTGTGTTCGTACACATAGCACTAGCCCTAATGTGGAACTAATTATGCCTTTCCTGTCAGCTTTGGTTATTGGTCCTGGGAATACCACAATGTGAGGGTAGTCTCCATCTGCTGCTCAGCATTTGATAGTTCCTATTAAAAAAAATACCTTCCCCATTTGCAATTATGTCATTGTTGAGATTGCTCTTTAAAATCAAAAGATATTTCACCCTGCACTAAATCTGATCATTACTCCATGTAACTCAAAGTCAGGCTCTCCCCTTAAAAGTTTCAGAACCATGAGCTGCATAAAGAGGATCTTTTATATACAAAGTTTTCGCGGGTGTTTGTATGTAGGTCTTTGGTTGTTCGGGTTTTCTCCCGCGTAAAATTGGAAGAGTCTTGGCGACGTTTCGACTAAGTCCCATTCGTCATCTTCAGGCTGGTGCTTTCAGCTTCGTGCTTCGAGGAGCAATGTGTGGTCTTAGCTGTTTCTTCCTTTTAACTGCCAGTGGGGGTGTGAACTAATTGGGTGGGAGCTTGGCTGTGTTCTGATTGGGTGGAGGTGTGTTCTGATTGGTTAGGGGCGTGGCTGTGCTCTGATTGGCTGGGGGGTTGGCTGTGCTCTGATTGGCTGGGGGGTTGGCTGTGCTCTGATGGCTGGGGGAGTGTTCTGTTTGGTTGTGCTGTTTGGTTGTGAAGATGAGGCACGACCACAAATGCGAAGCCAAAAAATAGCAAGGCAGCCCAAAATCTTAAACCCCCCTGCAACTCAGACTAACCTGAGCACAACCAAACAGAACACTCCCCCAGCCAATCAGAGCACAGCCAACCCCCCAGCCAATCAGAGCACAGCCACGCCCCTAACCAATCAGAACACACCTCCACCCAATCAGAACACAGCCAAGCTCCCACCCAATCAGTTCATACCCCCACTGGCAGTTAAAAGGAAGAAACAGCTAAGACCACACATTGCTGCTCGAAGCACGAAGCTGAAAGCACCAGCCTGAAGATGACGAATGGGACTTAGTCGAAACGTCGCCAAGACACTTCCAATTTTACGCGGGAGAAAACCCGAACAACCAAAGACATACATATATATATATATATATATATATATATATATATATATATATGAATAGTGAAAATAAAAATGTGATTCCTGGGTGAATCCATAGTCAATTACCAATAAAACGTGAACACCAGGAATATAATAAACTATAAAAGTTTAATACCACCACCGATCACTAAGCTTTTGTCAGATACTTCTGACATCGTCAGGGTTAATGCTGGTCTGTGGGAGAGTGCCTTTATAGGTGAGCCATCATTTGCACACGGCTCTTAGATCTTGTCGTAGGTCCTAATTGATTTAACTGCTTTTTAATTATGGCTTCCATACTGATGACTCCTCTTTTCTTGCTTTTACTGCTTGTGGTGGGTGTGTCGTTATTCCCCTCTACCTCCCACTGTCTTGAGTTAGGGAGGTTCTTTCCTCCCCTTTTTTGGTCATTTGTATCTCTAAGTTGTTCCCTCTTCACACCTCCGTATCTCCTACCTTCCTCTGATCTTTACTTGCTCCCCAATTGTCATCCCTCATTCTGTGGGGGCACACTCTCAGCCTTTCTCCCCCTCCCTTACTTTCCATTTCCCTCTCTTTGGCTGCATAAACTCCGTTTCTGTCGTTGCCATTCCGTCTGACATCTACTTGCTCTTTCACCCCATTATCAATGTTCTCGGACTCCACGTCAGACTGAATCCCTTGAATATCTCCTTCCTCCTCATACAAGCCCTTGTGTGCCCTCCTTTTTTGAATACGTATGCCTGGTTCCTTTGTATCCCTCCCTCCATCAACACAGTGATCTTTTTTACAGTTTCTATCATGTTCTACCCTTATTTGCATTTCCCCCCCATTCACACTGCTCTCGATCTCTATATTCTCTTGGGCGTTCCGATTGGTGCTCTGTTGTTTCCGTTGATGGACTGTCGTCACAGGGCAAGCCGGTCCCATCCTCCTTCTTTCTTATGCTGCTGGATCATCGCTGTTTTGGATTTCGGGGGGTCAGGAATGATTGTTCATTGGCTAATTGCCTCTTTCTCATCATGCAACTGTTCTCTCACTGTCTGGGAGCGTGTGCATGGTCCTGGAGCAAGGGGGGAGAAGTCCCTCAATCGTTGACTATTCTCCTGAATGTCCATGGGCCGTTGCTGTTGTTGTGGGGGGTGAAAATTCATCCCCTCCATAACTTCTTCCCTAGGGTTACGTGGTACTGTCGCAGGGTGTCTCCTTAGGGGTGGGCGATCTCGCCTGCTCCATGCTCTTAAAGTTAGATGTGCTGGGCACAAATCGATATGCTGGTTGACAGAGTCCCTGTCAGAGAGCCATTCCTCTTTTAGTAACCGGCCCTCTTTCGTATTGTCACCGGACAGGATGCATACATTATCAAAGTCAAAGCAATGTCCAGAATCCGCCATGTGCGCCCATACTTGGGAGTGCTGTTCCCCCCTTTTTACCGCTAATTTATGCTCATGGACCCTAGTCTTCATTCTTTTTGAAGTCTCTCCAACATAATTAATGGGGCAATCTTTGCAGTTGATTTTATATGATTGCCGATTTTTCAGTGTTGGGGAGCGGGTCCTTTGGGCGCATCACTTTGGATCTTAAGGTTTGATCAGGTCTGTGAGCCACCCTCACTTTATGGGGGGCTAACAACCTGGCTGTTGCTTCTGAAACATTGCTGATGTAAGGGAGGGTGACACGGGTTATCTGTGACGGGAGTTCCTCCATATCCGTGCTCATCCGGGGTTTGGGTGGTATACTACAGCGTCTGATGAACCTGGTAGGGTAACCATTGCGTCTGCATATTTGGAAGAGATGGTTTCTTTCTTCCCTTTTAGCTTTGGCTATATCTCAAAAAAACCTAGAAGATATTGTAAACATTGAAGCCAGATTCCTATAAGCATCATAGTATATACTAGACCCACATACTGAAGTATAGCACATGTTTTGCAGTGCAAAGAAAAATAAAAACCCTACACATATTCAGTTCTTTAGTATCTAAGTAGGGATAGGAAAGAATTATTTTTGAAACCTAGTGGACCTAGTGTCAGATATATAGATACTAGAGATCTGATTTCTTACAAGGAAAGACTATTATGGCATATTCAGTGGAGTCCAGTGAATTAGTTCGGCTAGATCTCTTTTATTAGGAAACCCCCCCCCCCAACTTTGGTGGAATGAAGTGCAGAATTACTACCTGTCTACTAATGGTCTCCCAAATCAGGAGATTAATAAATAGAAAAACCAGATCCAGCAGATGATTTTTAAATTTGCTTATTTTATTTCAATCTACATGGCTGCCCATCACATGGGTGATTAAGAACAGTTAGAAAATAAAACCAACAACAAAATAAAATATGTAGTTGTCAACCAAGGTAAAAACCAATAAACAACAATTAAAATAACCATCCCATGGACTCCAACAATCTGACTCTTATGCCTGGGCACACAATCATGTCTTCAGGCCCTTGTGAAAGACTAGCAGAATCAGAGCCATCTAATCTCTGGAAGGAGCATGTTCCAAAGGGTGGGTGCCATGACAGAAAAGACTCATTTCCTGGGTCCCCAAGACAGTATTCCTTAAGTGGCAGGAACCATGTCTCCTACCAGATCTAATGGGTGGAAGTGTTTTGGGGGAGGGGGGTCCCAACAAATCAACCAGTCCCATGCCATTATCTAATTTCAGAGGATTAAGAGAGGAATTAATTACAAGATATAAAACTGTGTCATCTGTGCAGAAAGATAGAAAAAGATCCTGAGCTGTAGAGAAACTATAGTTATGGTTAACATTATAAATATTTTATAGAACATATTCAAAAGATGCCAGAAATATGACTTGCTCACATGCCTGCTATTCTACATATGTGCATCCAACCATCATTTAATGCCAAGTGTTAAGAAATATGCACTAAACTGATTTAAGATATGAACAAGTAACTTTGCTGGGGAGTTTAGGTAACCAATGAATTTACATTAACAACATAGCCAGGCAGTATTTCTGGCTGATACAGAGCTTTCAGTAAGACCAAACAATACTGAAATACTGCAAAACAAATGCACATCTGCTTTACCAATTAACATATGTTTGAAATCAGATTTACTAGCTGGCGATAGGCCACGTTACAGTATTGTTTAGTTTTTCAGAGTTGAAGCCAGTTTGAAAAATGTACCACTGCTGAAAAGGAAAAATTCATCATACTGTTACTCTTACTAAAAAGATATTACAAACGATTGTGATATTTCACAAACCTGCTGTCAACTTCTGAAACGAACCTGGCTGAAGCCATCTTTGTCATTCTCAGTTGCTACACAGATTGGGAGGAAGGGGGAGGGGGAAGAAACTGAAAGGATTGCTAGACTAAACACAGAGCAATCCCCTGGGAATCAAAGTCATTCCCACTGGTGCTGGAAGGTGGAGAGAAGTGTCACGCAGCCCACCAATTGCCCTCATTGGGTGGCATGATCAACAGCATGGTAGGGGGAGGGTTACATTTAGTTACATTGAATTCCTGGAGGAAAAGTTAGAGTTGGTTTCACTTTTGACCATGCCGATATTATGTATACAATAAACATGTTCTTTGAGGAAACTTCAAGCCTCGAGTTCTGATTTGTTTGGGTCCATTAGTCAGAACCATGACATTAAACCAACTTTTCAAATTTGTTTTTCTGTTCTGAGATAGAAAGCTATCAAAGAGCTCTCTTTGGGGTCTTGAGCCCTGGCCACCTACCCAATTCTTTTGGGAGGATGGTAAAGACTGAGTGAAGATTCCAGGATGGAGAAGAAATGGGAAGCGACTACTAACTCCAGAGCAACACCTGCAGACGGGACATGGACAGCTGCCTAGACCAGGGATGGAATTCCACTGACAGGGGCTCAGCCGAAAGTTTATGCAGACAAATCTGACAGGCCAGCGGTGCAGGAAGAAGTTCTAGCCGTTGGGGATCAATACCAAGCAGAGGAAGATTTCCAGCGCAAGAGTATCCCCAAGGCTGCCGAGGCTGAGTTCCCCTTGATCTCATCCTATAGCTTTCTATAATTCACACTAAAATGGAAAGTAAAGAAAGCGACGGGATGGGATGAGTCAGGGGAATGGATGTACCTGGCAGCAGTCCATGGGCACTCAGCCGAAAGACCGAAGGAGAAGTTCAACCAAATGGAAATCAGAAAAGTGATCTTGGTTGCGAGGTATGAGGTCTCAGCTAGGGCCGAGACTAGGATGGATCCTTGTTGGGACCCCATACCAAAGAAAAACAAGAAAGTCCAGTTGCCTCATGAAAAAAGCACCTTTGGTATAATCGTAAGACTAGGAAGGGGCCCTCTTCTCACTACGCATAATGGTCAGGAGAGGAAAGCCACCTCCACTGAATCAGAAAGTGAGCCAACTGAGCCTTTGAAACTTGCATCAGATCAGTTGCTAGGGGTCCAACTCATTCCCCAAGAATACTGAGATCTGGCCGAGGTGTTCAGTGAGAAGGAGTGTGATGTGCTTCCCCCTCACCGAGTCACTAACTGTGTGATAGAGATCTTGCCAGGAGCGAAACTCCCTAAGCCAAAAATATATTCCATGCCCCCCAGGGAGATGAATGAACTAAGAGAATACATTGACAAAAACCTGGCTATGGGCTTCATCTAGCCAGCAAAATCACACGTGGCTGCCTCCGTGCTGTTCAAAGAAAAGAAAGATGAAACATTGAGATTGTGCATGGATTTCAAGGGCTTAAATGCTGTCAGTGTGGAAAACATGTATCCACTCCCCCTTATGAAGGATATGTTAGCTCACATGGCTAAAGGGAAATTTTTCACCAAGTTGGACCTGCAGGAAGCTTATTACCGAGTGAGAATTAAGGATTAAGATGAATGGAAAACTGTTTTTCATTGCCTGTTGCGGAGTTCCCAATTCAACGTGATGCCATTTGGCCTTCAGGGGGCTCCTGCCATGTTTATGCAGTTGATCAATGAGGTGTTACATGACTATCTATACAAAAGGGTCCTAGTTTATCTTGACGACATCCTCATCTTTACAGAAATGATGGAGGAACATGTCAAATTGATTCGCGAAGTGCTCAAAAAATTATTAAAGGCGAACCTTTACACTAAATTATCCAAATGTAAGTTCCACCAAATCCACCTTGACTATCTAAGGTACCGAATCTCAAATGAAGGGGTGGAGATGCACCCAGAGAAAGTCAAAGCCATTCTAGAATGGCAACCCCCTCAGACTTGCAAACAACTACAGAGCTTTTGGGGGTTTACTAACTTTTACCAGCAGTTCATTGCCTCCTTTGCAAAAATAGCCTTACTGATTACTGAACTGTTAAAAACAGGCAAGGGGGGAGGCAAAACCCTGTCCCAGTCAACTTTTAAGATGGACTATGGAATGCCAAGCAGCGTTCAAACAACTTAAAAGGTTATTCACAGGGGAGCCAGTCTTCAAACACCCTAACCCTGAGGAACAGTTTATCATCAAAGCAGATGTCAGTGATATTGCGGTGGGTGCAGTTCTCCTTCAAAAAAACAGCAAGGGAGTCCTACAACCATGCACATTCACCTCCAGAAAACTCACCGACACAAAGCAGCGATGGGCTGTATGGGAGAAGGAAGTGTTTGCTGTTCGATGGGCATTGCTAACCTGGCGTCATTTCCTAGAGGAGAATAAGATTCCATTTGAAGTGTGGACTGACCATAAAACCTTAAGGCACTCAGAACCCCATGGAAATTATCTCCCAAGCAGGTTCAGTGGATTCAATATTTCAATCGTTTCAACTTTTCTTTAAAGTACATTCCTGAAGGAAAGAACTTCCTAGCTGTCGACTTATCCAGAATGGCAAGAGCAATCGTGAGGAAGTGGTCAATGCTATCATTCCTTTGCCACAAAAGGCCTCTCGGGGACCACTAGACACCAAGCTTAAAAGCAATCCACCAGCTTTGGCAGCAGCCTGACCCAGAAACTTAAGGTTGGGCTGAAAGAGGACCCCTGGTTCAAAGACAACAGACAAGTGTTGACATATAGAGATGAACTAGCCTGGAAAAGCTCCAAGTTATACCTTCCTAGCACCCTCAGGGTCCAAGCCCTGCAACAAAGCTAAGATGCCAAGCAAGCAGGTCACTTTGGATGTTTAAAGACGTTACACTTGGTAAGGCGGCAGTTCTGGTGGCCAGGGATGAAAAAGGACATTGAAAGCTATGTTAAGAGCTGTGCAACCTGTGCAGCTGTGAAAAAAAGACCTGGGAAGCCCCCTGGATTGTTACAAGTAGCAGACCCATCCCAACCATGGGTGGAAATCGCAATGGACTTCATCGTAGAGCTCCCTGAAAATAGTGGAAATACAGTAATCTGGACTCTTATTTCTCAAAGCAGGCTCATTTTATAGCATGTCCTGGTCTCCCTTCTGCCCAGAAGCTGGCAAAGCTATTTTTAAAACACCACAGGATTATATTGGACCAAGGGGTTCAGTTCACAGCAAAATTTTGGATGGAGTTTGTGAAATTGATTGGATCCACCCAGAGACTCAGCTCAGCTTTTCATCCAAGTACAAATGGAGCTGCTGAATGAGAGAATGCATGGAACAATACTTGAGATGCTAGGTTAACTATCAGCAAACTAATTGGGCAGACCTGCCTTTTGCTGAAGTGGCATACAACAATACTGTACACAGCAATACTGGACTTACTCCTTTTAAGATAGCTCCTGGCAGAGAATTCGTTCCTATGCCTGAATATCCCCAAGATCCCCCTTCTCACAAACCGAGTGGGTTAGCTCATTGCAAAACACTTGGGCTAATGTCACATGAGCCTTAGCTAAGGCAATCAAGATTCAAAAGGAATAAGCTGATAAAGAAGTGACCCCCCCCCCAGAAACCATTTCATATAGGAGAGAAAGTCTATCTCTCAACCAAATACTTAAGATTAAAATTACCATGTAAAAAACTGGGACCTAAATTCATCAGTCCTTTTCCCATCATAAAAATCCTAAGCCCTGTCATGATAGAACTAAAACTCCTACGAATCTTGAGGAAGATACATCCAGTTTTTCGTTGGAGTTTGTTGAAAACAGTTATAGAATCAACATTGAGACCAGTACCCCGAATAGTTCCAAGTCCTATTATGGTGGAGGGTGACACCCATTATGAAATAAAATGGATTCTCGATTATAGACTGTATAAAGGGAAATGATAGTACCTAGTTAAATGGAAGGGTTACCCTTTGTCAGAGGCTACCTGGGTAAAGAGCAGAGATGTAAAGGCTGATAGATTAATCCAGAAATTTCATGATGAACACCCCCAAAAGCCTAGGGAAACTTCAGGTGACAGAGATGAAAATTAGTATCACATTAATATGTATCCATGCTTGTTATTTTCCAGGAACTTCTTTCTCTTTAGGGGAGTCCAACTGTCAACTTCTGAAACAAACCTGGCTGAAGCCATATTTGTCGTTCTCAGTTGCCACACAGATTGGGAAAAAGGGGGGAGGGAGAAACCAAAAGGATTGCTAGACTAAACACAGAGCGATCCCCTGGGAATCAAGGTCATTTCAACTGGTGCTGGAAGGTGGAGAGAAGAAGAGTCATGGAGCCCACCAATTTCCCTCATTGGGTGGCATGATCAACAACACAGTAGGGGGAGGGAAGTGTTACATTTAGTTACATTGAATTCCTGGGGGAAAAGCAAAGAGTTGTATTCACTTTTGACCATGCCGATATAGGTAGTCCTCGAATTACGAGCATAATGGAGCCTGCCCATTCCACTTGTAACTCGAAAACTTGTGGGAGTGAATCTCGTATCTCACTCCCTTGCTTGTTAAGTAAAGATGAGGTATATCAGGGTGGGGAAGGCCATGGAGGACCTAGTGATGGAACAGGCCCCCAAGGCCTTCCTTACTCACTAAGATATCTCATGCTTCCCCCTCCCTTCCTGCCATGCCGGATTCACCTTGAAAAGATCTGTCTCCTCTCTGGCACGGTTCCTGCTGCCGCCCAGTTCTGAGGCCGGGGGACGCTTACGTGTACCTCCGGGGGCTGGATCAGGGCATTGGAGGCCTTCTCCAGGGCACTGCCACCCAGATCTGAGACCGGGGGTTGCTTCTGTGGCCCTCTAGCAGCCCGTTTCTGCATGGCAGTGGCCTGGAAAAGACCTCCAGCACCCATATCAGGCCACCAGAGGGCCGCAGAAGCATCCCCCAGCCTCAGATCCGAGCAGCAGCAGCCTGAAAAAGCCTCTGACGCCCTGATCCAACCTTCAGAGGCACGTGGAAGCATCCCCCAGCTTCGGTTCTGTTCTCTGTTGCATAGAACAGAGGCCTAAAGTACCATGAGATCACGCGAGATCAGTAGCATGAGATCTCACATGATCTTGTGTTACTTTAGGCCTCCATTCTTTGCGAACGCACTGAAGGCCTGGAGCAGCCAAGAAAGCAAAGGATCTTGAACTTTGCAGGATGATTTTTGAAAGCCTGATGCCTAGGGAGATGCGGGACGGGGGTGGGGAGGAAGGGAATAACCAGAATGAATGTTGCAGAGCCTCTGCAGTCACTCGTAAGGGCAAACAACTGCTGTGGTGATGCAATATTTGTAATTTTGGGACTTGCTCCTAAGCACTAGGGGCCCTTATCACGTAACTTCGAACGAACATTAAGTGAATGCTCGTAACTTGGATATTACCTATATACATGTTCTTTGAGGAAACTTCAGGCTTCGGAATTCTGATTTGTTTGGGTCCATTAATCGGAACCTTGACACCTGCTCACTCTGCTTGATTAGCAGGAATAGTAAGTCAAAAGAAAGATTTGTTTGGCCTCACATCATGGGACACAATACTTCTATCTCGGTCACTTTCAACTCTTTCAGAAAATACCTATTTGCCTTTTTATAAAGAACCCAGAAGACTGCACTTCCAATAGAGTTTGGAAGATTGTGTTTTCTAAACTTATCAGAATATTTGTATTTCTATTATTTCCATGTTATTAGAAACACAAAATTAATCTTGAAATCGCTCATTTTTCAATATTAATGTAATCCATGTAAACTGTGCCATATAAGCTTTAGTAAACCATTTCAAAATTAAACAACGATC